GGACATAGTTAAAAGAAGCCATAATTACAGTTGTGTGAGTAATACATAGGCAGGCAAATAAAAATTAGAAGCTGCAAATACGTTTAGCTCAGCTCTTATGCAGGCAAACCATAAATCAAAATTTCTCAGCTGTTAAAAGTATACCTTAACTACTAGGATAGGATCTTTCTGTAGTGTGATGCTTCAGATTAATAGTTTAAAAGCTTAAATGAGATGTGGCTCACTAGATATGAATCCCCATTCAAGAGATTTTTGTATATCAATTGTTATTGATATAAAGTAAGAATAATCTTAATGGGGAGTTTAAAACAGGCTGTGCCAGGATGTCCTAAGTAACGGTGATTAGTCTCATGAGCAAGGCCCTCCTATAGTCAAACTAAGTTTAAGACATCCCACTTTCTGAGCAATCTTTGGAATCACCGAACTCTGGAAGATACAGGGCTAATGAGCTAATGAGAATCATTACACTATTATTTCAGTTTGACAAATCTAGCCCCTCCTTGGTTAGATCCTCCTTTCTATTCTACACATGAACAGCAAATAGCTATTTGTGAATTATTTTAAGATTACTGAAACAATTTTTGATAGATAATTAAATAGTGCCTCAAAATTTTTTTCCCCAGGTTATCTATTGCATAATAATAGTTGAAGGAAAAAAAAAATGGCCAAGAGATGTAAAGCCACAAGTGGGCATACATACAGACTCTCAGAACTCAGTTACCTATAATTACTATCTTTAAACCACTTTGTTCTAAGGCAGGAAATATGCTTGAAAGCATTTAAATTAAGAAAAGCTAATGACTTGGCTGACCAGTTATGCTGGATAAAATTCTGAGACAAAAATTATAATGCAGAAAATCCAAAACTATCAGTGCAAATACATTCATTGTTACTAAGGTGGAAATAGTAGGATAAATTACCATGAACACACTCTTAAAAAATACTACCCTTAAAAAATTCACTTTTTGCCTTGTGGAAGGTGAGCTTCTTCATACTGCTTTCCTCAACTTTCTTCGAACATGCTTTCAACAATACTTGTGCTTCAATGGCAAGCATTTCTTTGTCCAGGAGTGTTCCCAGGGGAAAAATTAAAAAGAAAGGTAACTAAGATATTTATATCTCCTTGTCTCGGAGATTGAAACACAGGCATTAAAGAAAAAAAAAAGGCTAATAAAACCCACATAAAAACAACCAATCCAGCCTTCCTGTAGATTTCAAGAAGATAAAAATTGCTTCCAACACTGTGTATAGGAAGAATACAGTCCAGCTTTTGTCAAATCTTTTTTGTTTCCACATCACATATCCCAAAATAACTCCCTGTAGCAGTTGCAAGCCTGCTAGGTAAACCAAACATGATAGTAGGGAAGAAGAGTTATACTCTTTGTCATCCACTTGTGCATTTAAAGTACTCACAAGCATTTAATAAAGACTTAAATGTGATGGAGAAAGTTAAGGATGATCCTTGTTTCTCCTCTTGGCTGCACAGGAGGAGACAATGAATGTCAATTGAAGCACATTCTTACGCTGTATTTGCAGATCAGTCAGAAACCACTAAAACTGATGAATAAGATGTGCTCCAAGGTGATTTAGCAGAAGTAAAGATCTTCTGTGCAAGTCAAATGCCAATATTTAAGACTCTGTTTCTGCACACAGCTCACCCATTATGTAAGTGAACTCTGTTTTCAAACCACTAGTCTGAGCTACCACAGTGATAATTTTGTCCCATTATTGCACAAACAAGCCTGTAGCACTAATTGTGATGCTGTAGTAAAGAGAAGTTACCAGGCTCATCTGATTATATCACCTTTATTCTCATTAATATTCTAGCTGATGCAGTAGGCAAAACCCTGTACCACATCACTGTCAATGATGTGGTACTGGTGAGACCCCAGATCTAGTCTAATATAAGCAGAATTTAGTCTACATTTCTTTTTTGTTTCTTCAAAGGATCTTCGCCCCAATATGTAAATCTCTGGGATTTTTTTTTGCATTCTCTGTTGTGCGTCTAGTCTATTTAGGAACATTTATGCTTCATCTGTAATTGGAAGCTTTTAAATCTCCAGGGCAGATCTCTCATTGGCACTTTTTTATGGCCCCTGCCTAGCCCATGTGTTACGGTAAAAAAAATGTGATTTTCAATAAGATAATATAGAGTTGTTTGAAAAGTAAGCTGTTTCATAATGTAACTTGAACTCAGAAAGGATCTAGGTCTTCATGGTGGAGACTCTCCCTGACACAAGAAATTTCCCCCAGGGGCTATAGCTGAGGGCTGAGTGGCAATTTTTCTTTCCACAACGATCATATGCGATTTGCTCACTGAATTCAGATATTTATGTATTTCTCTGGAAAACAAAACCAATCTGTAAAAATCTTTCAGATGTTTACAGACCTGGAGGTCTGCTTATTAGAATTGGTTATATGAGAAATAACATGTAAAAATTGTATGACTCTACTTTAGATCCATAAAGGAAAGATACATGATCTCAGTATGTACTACTAAGCAGCAAAAACTGAATTTGAAATTGCTACAAAATGCCTGAGAGAGATCACCTCTAGTCAATCGGAGCTGTTTATCAAAGAAACAGCAAGGTACCAAAATCACATGCTGATTCAACCAGGAGACGATGAAGACCTCAGCAGTTTGTATTTCAGACAAGGTAAGTAGAAATGCGATTTGCCTCTCCTGATGTGGTATCTCTGCAGTCTGCATTCTGCTTCAGCTGCCCACCAGGACCTGAATGCACTATGACAAGACTGCTGGTTACACATAGCCCAAACTGTCTTGGGACATGCTTAACACTCCCAACAAACAAGATTTCAGACCCTTTCTGGTTCATTAGCATTCATGGGCACATGGCTTACCTGCAAAAAATGCACTCAGAAGTTCATGGCTTGACCAATCCTCCCATGATGTGCTGCAGGAGCTGTAGTTCCACAGGAGCAGAGCAGGATGAAGGGGCCAGTAGCATTTTCCTGTCTGAGCCTGCCTGTCTTCAGAGATTGTTTTCCCTTTGAAGACGAAGAGTTAACAGATCATCTTGGAGAAGAGAACAGAGAAGGATGTGGGATTTATATTAATTTGTCTAATCCAGTCTAAATGGAAAGGTCCATTGATTTCAAGTCTACATTCTGGAGAGACCAGATATATAAGAAAATGACAGGGGAAAGCACTCATGGAGAACCTCATCAAGAATGATGCATAAACCTAAGTCTGAAAAAACATCTAGGTCAAAGTGATGTAACCCTGGAAGTATCCTAGAGTCATTCTGCACTTTAAAACATATCACAGAACATGTCATAATTTATCCTCATCTGAATTAACAGGAAAACTTCAGGAATTTGCAATTCTGACTGAAGTTCATAGTGGTGAAAAAGCTGAAATATTAAACATTTGAAAAAGTGATTCTATACAAATTTTACCTCAAATATAATAATTTATCTTTTGCTATGCATTAAACATTTAGTAACTTCATAGCTAAGCCATAGGAAAAATATTGGCCTCAGTCAAATGTGAATTCCAGTTTTCAAGATTATATCTCTTCTGCTATTTGTACGAGTAATGTATTTTCTGTGCTTGTTAGAATTAACTTTTTTCTTCAAATGACAGTGGCATTTATACACCTCCAGCAAAGATGATATGGATTTGCTTCATCGGGTTTATTTCTCTCCAGTATGCTCTGTCCTGGTTCTGTGCACACTAAATCCAGTCCTGCTCTTGCATCGAGTTACTTACATGGTTTCCATTTTTCCATTTAGGATAGGATGTTTTGAATGTGATTATGCTGAGCACATCAGCACCAATACATATAGCTGTTAAAGTTTTCTCCATCTCTTGACTTCTACACTATTCTGAGTCTCTGGATCTTCAAGCCCATTGTCAAAATCTGTCGCATATAACTTGCATTTTTACTTTATCAGCTTCTCCTTACGGTCATCAATTGATGCGCTCCTCTCGGCAATTCCTTATTGGAAGTATTGCCAAGGCAAATTTTTGGATCTCTCAGATAACAGGGGCTGTGATCTTGCAGAGATACATTATATCTGCTACCCCTCAGCATTTAGGAGCTTACTCCCAAGGCCAATGAATTCGTGGCTAGGAAACCCCCTGTAGCACTCAGAATTCCTTGATCACTTGCCTTTCATGACTGTGCCCTTCATAAAATCTGATAAGACATGGTTGTTGCATTAGTCACCCACTCCCACTGCAGACCATGCTGAGAAGCATGTCTCTCTCTTTAGGAAAGTGATTAATTTTAAACACATTTTTTTTCTATTTAATACTCAACCTGAAATTTACCATGGTTGCCAAGATAAGTCAATAATTTGCCTATCTCCAGGTAAGTATGGATCCAGTCTCTGATAACAGCTGTCTAAGCCCAGAAGGGAATTTTTCCAGAGTAGCAAAATTTTCTGAAAATTTCCCTTTACTTCTGTAAGAGTAACAGCTGTTATGTCTATGCTGGCTTCTGTGTTCAGAATGTTCTCTCAATTCATGATGTGGAGCAAACATCTGATATACAGTTATGGTGATTTTTGTCTGTATTAGGGCCCTGGTGTAGGTACCAGCAATGTAGATACAGCATCTTTGAGGTAGGGAAATTACATTGAAAGATAAAAGTAGTCAGAAAGTGAAGACAAGTTGGTCTTCTGCTGCTATTATTTTTACAAGAATTCATATTAGACTCAGTCAATCACTTTGACTTCCTTTTTACTGATATGAATATCTCTAATTTGCAGTGACAGTTAGGGTTTTCAAAGGACTTAGAAGTACTTATAAGCTTAATTCAGTTTGCACTGCTGATACTGCAGTGAATAGTCTCAGTGTGAGTACTTACAAAAACCAAGGTGTAGAGTTCCTGTTTTCCAGAAGGATTTTTAGGATCTTGTAAGTATAATTAATAACACAGAACTCAAGTGTCCTGTTATTTGTGTTCAGCCAGTAGCAGGATAGGTGTTAGAATGAATAGGAAGTTTGAAAAGGAAGTGTGAAAATAGACTGAAGACAGTGTAATGTTGATGGTAATCATTATGCTTCTTTACAGAGAAGATGAAGAACTTTCTGCTAGCAGCTATCTTTTTACTTGTCAGAGGTGAGTTTTCATATACAGCTTACTGCCGCTTATAACATTAAAAATCCTTAATGTTACTCAAGGATGAGACTGTATGAAGAAAATCATGACCAAATTAAATTCTGTGAGTAGGAGAAGCAACCACCAGCAATAGTTTTCCTATCCAACAATTCCCTTCCCCCCCCCCCCTTTTTTTACGTCTTCTTTTTTTTTTTCTTTTTTCTTTTTACCGCCTTCCTCTTTGTGCTCCCCAGGTCCCTGCCGCTGCACAGACTGGGACTCTCCGTTCTGCCGGCAGCTGCCAGGTGGGTGGAACGCTGCGGTGCCCGGCGGGCGATGAGCGCTGCCGAGGGCTCCCGCCGGCGCTCGGAAGCATCGCCCCTAAAAGCACGCCCGCCTTTCCCAAAGGGAAAACCCGGCCAGAGCAGCACGGGCAGGTGTGTCTGCGTGACGGCAGGGCTGGGCTTTCACTCCCGCATGCTGGGAGTGAAACCCCAGACAGCGCGTCACAAATAGCTGCCGTTCCAAAAGACCACGGATCCTCTAAAGTTTATGTGTGATGGATATCTCTGCTTTCCATTTAACTGGGAAATTACTGATGATGGCGAGGAGGAACAGTATAACGCATTTGATATAGTATTACAGAGCAGTGGGTGGTCATCTGATGTACATTGTGCTGGATTTAGTGTGGGCAGAAACGTCTTACTCGCTAAAAGACACAGCAGAGATGATAGGTTCTTGAGTACACAGTGACACTGGGCAAGACATCTGCAGGAGGACTGTTCTTCTGAAATTAGCCGCAGATAATTTTCTAGTCCTTGCAATTAACTTGCCAGACTAAACTCCACTAAATCATTAGTGAGGAAACCAGATGCTCAGGAAGAAAAACAGAAAGTTCTAGAGTGAAAAAAGTTTAAATGTAGGTGGTTTGGGGTTTGTTTGTTGGTTTGAGGGGTTTTTTGTTTTTTGTTTTGTTTTGTTTGGTTTTGGGGGTTTTTTGTGTGTGTGTGTTTTTTTGTTGTTGTTGTTTTTGTTTTTTGGGTTTTTTTAAGTGGAGAAACTGAACTATGTTTTCTTTAGAGCAAAGAAATTTTTTTCTTTCTTTGAAGCACAGTTGTGATACAGCTCTGGTACTATGCTAGGTCTGGGAAGAATTAATAATCTACGTGTTAAGGTGGAGCAGTACAGTAGAACAGAGAAAGCACTAGAATAAAAATTAATGTGCATGTGCATAATATCTACACACAGGACAAGTGAAAACAAAAGTGTGCAAGATTCATTATATTTATCTAGACAAAGGAATTTAGAATTTCAGTATATTGGGAGTGGGAGGATGAATTGGGGTGTTAGCTGAACTAGTACACTATTTCCACACACAAAATCTACTATTTTTTTTTCTGCTTTAATACCATAATCACATAGAGAAAGACCAGGGGGATTTTGCAAAACTTAGAGCATGAGGAACAATACAACCACTACTTGTCTGTAAGCAGACATGTCTGGAACATGGTAGACACCATGTGGATCTGAGTTAGTAGAACTCTTGTTTCAAATACTATCAGGAGCAGTACCAATGTATTGTCATGAAGTATAACAGCAGTTCCAAAAAGATTTTGTTTTCAGTTGTTTCTTCAAAACAACAATAAAGAACACCAAGCAGGTGTAAGGTTTAATTCAAAATAAAATAGGAGAAGAATGTGAGAGCTGTTGCTGTTTTCCCTGCTATTGACAGACACAATGTTCATGTGTGAGGAGGCCAAGATGTGGTTTGGTGGGCAGACTAGAAAAGCATAGACTTCTGTAATATTTCACATTGCTATGGAAATAAGGAAGACATAATCTCGACCTTCCTGAAAGGAAGCTGTACACTCCTGACTGGTGCAGTATTGTTTATTAGAAAAGCATTATTCATTTAGTACGAGAAAAGCAGTGTCATGAGGTGAGGGTATTAAAGTCAGTGCTGTAGTCATTTGACACACTTCCTTTTCCAAAACACCTTTTATCTTCAATATGCATTTTCCATCTCAATGATTAAAAGAATGCCAAGGATACTTTATAACTCAGGTTGTAGGAAGAAATGAGGAAAAGAGAACTGATCTTTTCATTCATAACCTAGGTTATAGCATACCATACTATGCTACAATACTAACTCCTGAGATATTCATATTTACTTATTACATAGCAAAACCTTTCCTATTCAAGACTGATAGGTCTATTGACAACTTGTTAGACCTAACAAGTATGAAGGACGTGTGACTCTACTCATCAGGAAAAATTTACCTTAAGCATCCCATTCCTGTTGAGATCCTTGTCTACTTTCCTGAATAACAACACAAAATCTGAGTCCTTTTTGAAGGACTTTGAGACACCATGACTGATTGTTCTGAACTAATAGTTCAGACAGTAAGACACAAAGCAAAAGAACAACAACAGTCATATTTTGTCATCAGCATTTTGTTAAGAGATTTTTGAAATACTGACATAAACTTAATCACTAAAGACAAAAACCAAGTTTCTTTAATAATGTCATCAGTGCTTACTTTCACATCAACTGAAAAAGGGTATGTTCAGTTGCAAAAAAATCCCCATATTTCTCTTTAAATATTAATAACAGGTAATTTTATACATAAACTTATGCTCCTCCTGTTTTATAATGCATTCTTTATAAAGCTGGCAGTTTAAAAGTAATATTGTTTTTATCCAGTCATATTGTGTAGTTCTGAACTTCAGATAGAGATTGATTCTTTTGAAGCAATTCTGGGGTCTAGTCAACCAGTTCTAGCCTGGTTCGTATTTGATTTCATTACTCATAGTCCCTTTGAGTCAGTTAATGTTTGCCTGTGACCGGTCTTTTCCAGTGTCCATGTTTTCATCTTTCAGATTGGGACAATGAATTGGTGTGTTACAAAGAATTAAGTGAGGATCTAACTTGTACCTGGCTGCCAGTACCTAGTGCTGCAAATACAGTTAATTATACTGTATACTTAAAATGGTAAGTCTGAAAAGATATCTCAGAAAACAAAAAGCTCTTATTGTTGTTAGATGTGGTTCCCATCTGCTGGAGTTTTGTTCTAGTGTATTTCATCTCTTTATAGGTTATTACACAAGGCTAGTCAATACCTTTCATCACTTCTCATCAATACCTATTGATTTGTAAGAGCTTGGTAAGAGACTGGTAGGTTGATTTTGGCTAGACATCACAAAAGCTGTTCTAGTCCTCCACTCCTCAGCCTAACAGGGCACAGAAAATATGACAAAGGATCATGGGTTGAGATAAGAACAGGAAGAGGTCTCTCAGCAATTACTGTCATGGGCAAAACAGACATGACCTGGGAAAATTAATTTAATTTATTGACATTCAGATTAGAGTAGAGTAATGAGAAATATAGCTAAAACTTGAAACGCCTTCCCCTTCTCTGCCCCCCACCCCCATGCTTTTCTTCTTACTGGGCTTAACAGAATTGTCTGCCTCCTCCACCCCAGCATTGTGGGGGGATGGGAAATGAGACTGTGATCAGTCCATCACATGTTGGGTCTGTCACTTCTTTTCTCTTTCTATTCTTCCTCTGGTTCAGCATGGGAATCCTCCTACAGGAGACGTGAACTCCCACAGTCCATCATTAACTCCTCCAATATGAATGCTTCCCATGGGGCTGCATTTCTTCATTAACTGCTCCAGTGTATGTCCCTTCCATGGGGTACCAGCTCTTCAAGAGCAGCCTGCTCCAAAGCAGGTCCCTCGTGTTCACAAGCCCTGCAAACCTGCTGCAGTGTGGGATAGTCTCTGCTGCTCCCACATGTTCTCAATTCCTCTCTGCCAGCTGCTGTTGTGCAGCAGCTTTTTCCCTCTTTTAAATGCATTATCCCAGAGGCACTACCACCATGGCTGATGGGCTCAGCCTCGGCCAGCAGCAGGTCTGTCCTGAAGCCCAGCTAGAACTGGCTTTGTTGTACATGGGAAAGCTTAGTGCAGCTCCTCGGAAGCCACCTCTGTAGCAATCTGCTCCCTTGCTCCCAAAACCTTGCCATGCAAACCAATACAGAGTTATTATACATCTTACCATGCCACCAACACACTGTTTAAAGCATTATTGCCAAAGATCAGCTTACTCAATTACCTTTGTTTGTAGCTATTGACTTTTATTGACTATTAAACACAGACGTATTTAAAGTAAAAAAAAAAAAAAATTAAAATAAAGCATTCAAACATAAACAGACACTAAGCTTTTATTTTATGTATTATGTATTTTGCTATAGCATGAACACAATAAGATGTCAGATGTAGCATACTTTCTGGTAATTCTGAATTGTCTAGTAGTGGTTTAAAAGATGGAATGAACTTTTAGGGTTAATTTTGAATTGATTACCTAAAATACAGTATCTTCAGTTGCAGCTGCATTACAAAATTGAATTTCCTCATTTTATATCTAGATATTTGGAATCTCCCATGAGATTAGGGGCATGCTCAGAAATAGAAATGTGAGATCAGAAGACATGATCTTTGCCATGAGACCATCTCATAGGGTACATAGAGTACAACTCTGTATACTATAGGTAAATTCTGATATTCATCACTGATTTTCTGGCCACATAACCACCTCTTGTCGTTAAAAATGAGCTGTGGTTAGAAATACCTCCTAAAGCTAAGAAAATGTCACCACACTGGGAAATTCCCCAGGGTGATCATCTTCACATTGCACAGGAGCAAAGCAACCACCTCAAGGCTGAGATTACTCCCCCCATCACCTTCAATATTTTTTCACTGGAGGTAGCAGCAGGCACCAATTTGCAATAAACACCAAATTTCATTGCATTTACTATCTTGACTCTTGGAACTTCAAGGAATACCATTTTTTTTTTTGAAGGGGAGAAATATCTATGAAACAGCTCTGTTTCTGAAGAGATGTTATCAGTTGAAATATTTTTAAGCTACTTGCCCTCAAAGTCGTAAGACAAAACCAGACTGTGCTGTTCCCAGGCTGCAGGGTTGATGTCATGAACAGACAAGGTAGACAAAAGAATGAAAGAGGATGTCAGTGGGGGAAGAGAGAGGCAATTCCCTGGCAGAGTTGTTGATGTTTCCAAGTCAGTCAGGACTTTAACCTCAGTCTCCTAAGCTTCCACCCAGTGGTCTTGAAGAAAAGCTTACTATCTCCTCCTCTACTGGGTTAAAAGAAAAAGAAAAAACCCACATGCGAAAGGGCTTTTGCCTTGCCTAGAAGAGGTAGGGCTTTTACCTTGCCCATTCCTGCATGTAACATCAGTTTGATGTTGTAATAGTTCCTTGTCCTTGCTCCTTGTGATTAGGTTGTCAGGAAGAAAAAGATTAAAGATAAACACTCCCACAGAAAAGTTCCAACCAAGAATTCAAAATCATGCTTTGAAATTTTAATGGCTGATTCACATCTAGCCTGTAGCAGAAGACAGGAAAACCTTCAAGCAGTTTTTCATAGGTATTAAATATTGAATCATGATGTGTGTAATTTAATACTTGAGAAGCATAGGTAGGCAATTAGTATGCTAGCCCATCTCTTTAAGAACGCTGAACTTGCACAGTTTCAACCTTGGAAAAAATCTGTCCTGTGTATGGCAAAGACTAAATGAGAAAGACAAGGAAAAAAATAAGCAGAAAAGTTGGATGTAAGGCATTAAAACTCTCAGATTTCCTGTGCTGTGTGTATTAGGTATACCAGGAGAAATCTACAGGGCTGAGGACTCAGGTGACATTTAGATATCTCCATCAAACTCTGGTGATTTGCAGGAACAGAAGTCAGAATATAGGCATATAACTCATAAGAAGCTTTTCATAACTTTATGGTAATTTAGATACACATAACTGGAAAATTTTGCTGTTCAAAAGGAATTTGGGTGCCCCTGTTATAAGAGGCAAGGCTTTATGAAGTAATTTCTAACATAATATTCTACTTTCAAAATGCTCTATATATCCCACTGTGAGTACAAAAGAAGGTCATACAGATCTTGTATCATGGTATGCTTTAAAAGTTTAAGGCATTCAACAGATCTCCACCACACAATACAAAGATTTGCACATTTAAATTTGCTAGGGTTGCTGAGGTGCTGGAATTAATCTTGCTATTTCAAGCTGCTCAAGGTGAATCTTCAAGATTTTCAGATGTGGAATTATGTGTAGAAGTATCTGGAAAGACATCAATTGCTATAAGTTTGCTTTCTTGGGCAGGGGAGGAAAGAATAGCTATAATCGAATAAATGTTTTTCCTTCTGCTTCCTTTTTTCTGAAGGAACCAAATACGTAAACCTTTCCAGCGAAACACATCGTCACCTTCCATCACAATAGAACGAAAGAATCTCTACATTGAGAGATTTGCAACCATTTGGATAGCAGTGAATTATGCCCATCACACCTGCGCAAAAGGAAAGAACATCTCAGTTTTACCAAGCAAAGCAGGTACAGTGTCTTCACAAGTTGTGTTACTGCAGTGCCCAGCTAAAGCTGTATTCTGTAAAGATCATTTCCAAAATTTCAGCTCCCAAAACACTCTTATTTTTACTGATATTTTTATTGATAACACTGTTATTTTTACTGATCCAGAGAGCTAAGATGCAGTTTGACTTCTTTGAATGAAGTTAATAACAGAAGCCTATAATGTTTTATGGGAGGCGGGTTTTACTTTAAATATTTTGCTGGAATATTTAATATTCATATCCAGAAGAATACATAGTAATATTTGTGTACCAGCTTTCTATGCTCTTTGATGGTTTTCTGAATTTCTTTGTATTGGTTTATAAAGAGCAGATTGACTCAGCACTGTGTACCTAAGGAATCCTTGATATAGGGCATTAGAATTGTAATTGATGCTAAGAGTTTCTCAAAACTTCACCTGCTCAGACTACTCAGGTCCAAGAAAAACCAGTGCTTCTCACTTCTGGGAGCTACTACCAGTACAACCTAAATTATCAGTAGTATAACCTTTACTGAAGACTTTTGGCCACGTTGTGTTTATTGGAGAGGAAGATTAAAATCTATTTGCCCTTACTGAAATTTAAAGATATTCTGGATATTTTTTATACAACTCATGGTTACAGGTATACTTGACATTTTGATCTCGCCTTTCAGCCTCACTCAGAATAGTAACTGCTTAGAAAAAGAGTGTTCCTGAAATCAGTAGAAGCATTCACAAAAGAAAGGCAAGAGGAACAACTGCGGCACCTTAATGTAGGGGATGCCCCCCAGGGTCCTCACAAAAAAACTGTATTTTGTTGATGACATAAAGACTTAGTAATTATTCATTTCCATGGTCTTTTGAAGTCTCACAGCATTCAGTATTGTGTTCCAAGTCTTTTAATTTTATAGGCCACACTCAATAGATGTAATTACCAAATCTTTCCTGCTGCTCTTGCATTTTTAATGACTGTATCTCCCTCATTTTAGGAAAGTGCTTGTCACCATCTAACATAAATGCTTATCAGATGAAAAACCAATTGATAATAAAGTGGGACCTGCCCACAGCTCATACACCGTATGAGCTGAGATACAGAGAGGCACTCACAGAATCTACTCCATGGACACTGGTAAGTACTTCCAGATGACAATTTCCTGTGAATATAAGGTGCCTCAATATCAGCTCAGCTGCACATATTTTATGCAGCACAAGGATTGCAAGGCAGCATAGCAAGGAGTCACTTTGTAGGCAAATCCCAATAAAGAATCTTAGTTTGGTTCTAACAAATAATGAAATGCTTGGGAAAGAAGGAATAGTAGCTTTAAACAAAGCAAAATAGAATAGCTTGTTATCTGGTCCATTAACCTACCAGTGAGACATTACAACTGCCAGTGATACAAAAGCTGAATATCAGAAATGCCATGTAAACTCAGATCCAAATTTACAATACTTACAATATTGCTATTTTAGCTGGTATCGTTACATTTTCTAACAGATTAGAGATCAGGTTGCTTTGTTTTTTGAGTTAATTCACAGTTTACACATTTTTGGTTCGTGTAAGTATTCCAGATTTTCTTCTTTGAAAAGAAGGGAAATAATTTTTCTGTAATACAGTTATAGAATCATAGAATGGTTTGGGTTGGAAGGTTCCAACCAGCCTAGTTCCAACCAGCCCTGCCATGTGCAGGGCCACACTATAGTAGACCAGGGTGCCCCATCCAAATTGGCCTTGAACATTTCCAGAGATGGAACATCCACAACTTCCCTGTTCCAGTGCCTCACCACCCTCACAGAGAAGAATTTCTTCCTCATACCTGATCTAAACCTACTCTCTTTCAGTCTACAGCCACTGCCCCTTGTCTTGTCACTACATGCTCTTGGGAATAGTCTTGCCCCATCTTTCCTGTAAGTTCTCTTGAGGTACTGGAAGGCAACAATAACACCTTCCCAAAGCTTTCTTTTTTCGAGGTACTCCATCCTACTGATTTGGTGGCCCTCCTTCGGATTCATTCTAACAGGTCCATGTTCTGCCTGTGCTGGGGACCCTGTCCCTGAAAACTGGGAAATAAACTCTCCATCATATGTGTTATGATGGAGACTAGGAAGCCAACATTATTTCATTAGCAGTGCTGGATGCATGGATAATTCTCTTCAAAGCATACCTGCCCAGTAACCTCAAAGACCAGGTTATATTCCTGAAACTATTGTATTTTCATGTTTCCTGAAAATCTGCATATATGCTGATTATTTCCACTTGTTTGGATATGATTCCAGATCTTCTGAAGAATCTTTTCTCCTTGGGAGTATTTCAAATATGTTATTGGGTCATAATGTACTTCTCTTATGATTCTTTGCTCTGACACTCAATCCCTGTTCTCAAAACTGAGATATTAGTTAGTACATATTAAATCACAGACAGAAGTAAACAAGAAAGCATTAACTGGAACAAGTTTATTAGTCACAGGTCTAGGGAGTCAGCACATGGCCACATTAATCTCTGGTATTTGTACTAAGCACTGTATGTACAAAATTAAGTACTTACAACGAATATAGGGGTCATGCTCTGTTGTGCTAAATTTAAAAGAATTTCCAGCACCTTCACTGCTACATAAATGTCTTCTTATAGGACTGTTCAATAACAATCCCAGAGCTGATGCAGCCCTGCAGGTGGGGTCTCAGCAGAGCAGAGCAGAGGGGCAGAATCCCCTCCCTGGCCCTGCTGCTCACACTGCTCTGGATGCAGCTCAGGACACGTTTGGCTCTCTGGGCTGAGTGCCCATGGCTGGGTCATGTCCAGCCTCTCACCCACAGCACCCCCAAGTCCTTCTGGGCAGGGCTGCTGTGATCTGCCCATCCCCCAGCCTGTGTTGGAACCAGGGTTGCTCTGACAACCAGGTTCAGCAGCAGCTGGTCTTGTTAAACCCCATGAGGTCCCCATGGCTCACCCCTGGAGCCGGTTCAGGTCTCTATGGATGGCATCCCATCCTGCAGGAGTGCCAACAACACCACTCAGCCTGGGGTCATCTGCAAATTCACAGAGGGTGCACTTGACCCCTCTAAGTCATTACTGAAGATATTAAATAACATTGGTAACACCCACTATGGACCTCTGATGGACACATCTTGTCACTGATGTCCACTGGGAGTCTGAGCCATTGTCCATTACCCTCTGGATGCAACCATTCAACCACTTCCCAATACACATCACAGTTTACCCATCAAATCCATCACTATCCAGTCTGGAGCGAAGGATGCTGTGAGATACAAGATCAGTTCCAGTTGCATTTGAGGACATACAATATAGCACAGCAACAGGGCAGTACCAAATTAAAAGGAATATGCAAAAGATGGAAAATGAGTCATAATTTCAATAATGTCTGTACACAGAAGCATTGGCTGCTTATCCTGCCCCTTCCCATCCAGCATATCAAGCAAAGGCTTCTTCAGCAGGAAAGCACATATGCATGATTTGTATCACTAAGTCCCTGAAATTGTCTGTTTTTCAAGCTCTGTTACTTTTATACATGTTAATCTGGTTTTAAATATGCATTTATCAAGGAAAAGAAGAAAACTGGTTAAATAGCAACAGTCCCCACTTCTTGGGAAATTCTGCTTACCCAGGAGCCTCTTTGCTTCTTTTTACAGCAAAAATCTCCCTTGTTCTTCCTTTTGTGTCAGAAGACTGTTCGCATTTCTCTTGTAGCTGACTGCTGGTTTATTTAGCCTCTTCAGAAGAGCTTCTTCAAGAGACCCATGCAAGAAATGTTTCATCTCAGTACAGAGAACATTCATGTCTTGGAAAGGTCCCCTTGCTCACTTGCATACAAGTCTAGACAATTCTTGGGCAGCCAGTTACCCATGCATAGCCCACCGAGTAGTGCAATAGATAGACAACCACGTGCAGACAGCTGGGCACATGGCATGTGGAAGAATGGAGAGTTAAGAGCAGTACAAATGCATGGCCCTGCAGGTTTTGGAGTCAGGGGGAGATGGAAGATTCACATGAGTACTGTGAAGGACTAGCAGAGACATCCACACTGAGGGACGAAAATGAGTCAAGACTATATAGGTTATGAATATTTGTTATCTCCCAAGTCCCAGCTGATGCTATGAATTTAGGCTGTAATCTCTTCCTAATAATATAAATGTAGGCTAAGCTTGCAAATGAGTTAGCAAGAATGGCCGTACATGCAGAGAGGATGTAATAAAGCTAGTGTTTATCACAGGTAGGATAAATGTATGTGTAATGCAATTTAGCATTTAGGTTTTAAATCCAACTTCCATTTGCCTCTTGTTTGGAGTCTTTCTGTAATATTGTAGGTAGTGGGATTTTTTTGTGACCAAGCAAAAAATTATATGAAGTTGTCATGGACAAAGTGATACCATTCACTCATAAGAAAGAAATTATATTTATTGATATAAAACAGAAATCTAGCTAAGTTTTGATAGTAAATGTGACAGGGGTTTAACAGGAGCAGATGGCAAGGAGCGCATGATTACTTCACAGAGAATAGAGTCAGACAGAACTGTGAGGGAGACCTTTTAATTGGGCCATGGTATTTTAAAAAGACTCCCCTTGCATTCTAAAATGCTTCTCAGAGCCCCTGCAAGTCTAGTTGCTTCTGGATCCAGACTTAATCCCAGACCTGGTCAACAGTTGTCTACAGGATTTTATGTACACAATTAATCCTTTGTATCACTTAACTGAGATGTAAATTTTCAGTGTATTAATTTCCAATTCACTTATCAAGTGTCTGAGGAGATGAATGCTCTCTCATCCTTGGGGAGTAACCTTCAGAAGTTAAGAAGTGTCCTTACTCAAGAGATCCCATTGTATAGCCTACTGCTGTGCAGGAGAGTTCAAGAGGCTGTGGGCTATCCACTATTTAAAGGGTAAGATGAGACACCTAAAGACATATATGCATGCTCTCTTCAAATATTAGTTTCTTCCAAAGTTGACTTGAATTGAATCTTAACCAGTACTATGCGTAGGTGGAGGAACTGTTAAAATCAGCCCTTGTCTTTCATGTTGTTATTTGTCTGCCGCGAATCGACTTAGAGCCAGATGCTGGTCCAGACACATCTAATATGACTGCTGATAGTGGTTATCACTTAATCAGGATCATAGGAAATAGAGGTCAGGATGGAGGGGAAGTGGAGGAGAGGGAGGCGGGAACACTCCCACAGAAGTTAATTAATTAACTTATCAAAACATAAAGTACTGCAGAAATTCAAAGAGAAGAGCTCCTCATCTTAGAGTGGAGCTTTGTTGTTTTTGTGGGATTTTAGGGAAGAGTTTAAGTGATAACAACAGTTTCCTAATGTATTTTCTCTTATTTTCTCTGTATTTTTCAACTCAGGGTTTTTCTTAGATATGAGTGGTGTCTTTGTTTCAAGAAAAACTCAATTCCCTGTGCAGTTATTGGCGCTCCAGTGCCCTCATCAGCTGCAGATGCAAATCTCTTCTGCAGTGCCAAGGCGTATAGGCAGCCACACCATTCAATCAGTCATGTTGTTTAAGACAACAGCCATGTAGGTCTATCAGACATAATGACACTTCTAAAAATAAAGGCTTTTTTTAATGTTTAGCTTTCCCTTGTATTCTTGTTCTTGAGAATCCTAACAAGGTTTGGAATTAAATAAATTTTTATTTTCAGTATATGTAATGTCTAATTGATTTTAAAAGTAATATTTAGACCAGCTTACTTACTGTCCTGAGTGAGCAGAACAAATTCATGAAAAAGAAGGGTGTTGCTTGAAAGAATGAAAATACCTTGACTAAATGTGCAATAATTCATATTTGATGATCGGAACCTCTACTTTCAGCTGAGTCAGAAGACTAGTCTTAGGCTGAGAAACAATACAATATAATGCTGTATTGCTGTTACTTTTTTTTTTTTTTTTTTTTAGGTGGCTGTAGGAAGCGATGTTGTCAATGTCACCATTTCAAAATTTAAATGCTATGTCTTCATACATTGTCCAGCTCAGATGCATAACTAGGATGGTCTCAACTGTGTTTGCATCTGGAGCAAAGAGGATTTTGGTCCCTCACAGTAAGTGAAATGTAGTTTCATCCTATTGATAGTAAGTATGAATGTAAAGGCTTTTCCAGATTCTGTGCGATATGGAATAGGATTTTCAGGTACTCCTGAAAATATGAACATCAAGAATTGCTCATTTGAGTGCTGTCTCCATCTTTTTCCAATGTTTACCAGACTCATGAACAAGCCAAGAATATATATAACGTAATCACACAAGTCTCTCCAGGAAGAAGAAGTGTCCTTCTGAAGTGGGAAGTAAGGTTCACTTTGAGTCTGGATACCTTCTGTTATGCATTCTATTTATTTCTTGCATTGCAGTGAAAAACAGACTTTCTTATGTATTGAGTCTACACTTGATAAGCAAAAGACATTGGATATTGTATACTTGCTGCAGAATTCATTGCATCTGTATGCTGATGTCTTGGGTGGTAGAAACTAACAGAGAAAATTATATCAATTTATAATCTGAAAATTACTAAAACTTCCCTTCTTTTCCAGGGAAAAATATCAGAAATAATCCTTGCAGAATTCACAGGCCTTCATGTATTAAATTTCTGTCTACCTTGCAGTAATTTCCATTTCTGTGCACTCATTTTCCAAACACTTATTAAGATTAGTACAGTAAATAATGAGTGAAACTATCACCAGGAAATTTCTACCAACGAATATTTAACACATTCCCAAATTTGTAGCATAATTGCTAGCATTTGTCTTTAAAGATACTACATACCTTATCAAGTCCTAGAAGATGAGGATATCCAGAGGCCATAAATTTCAATTAAACACCTCTCATTACCTTTCAAGTTCCTGAAAATGAAGGGATATGTTCCACTGAAATGTAGAGAAATGCTACAGCTGCCTTCAACTGCTGTTATTACTAATTGCATAACTAAGACCTCAATTAAGGAATTTTGTCATCATGTCCTTAAATCCTCTCAATTTAAGAATACTCTTAATTTTAAGGAAATGCCTTTTCTTTATTGATTCTTAATGACCTAATTAAAGTGTTGATTTTATCCCATCATTAGAGGCTACATTTGTTTATAAAATTAAATTATTTTTGATTTTGGCACGGAAAATAGCAGCATTTATAGAATAATAATGTTTTTCCACTTGCTAGGTAGCACAAAGTGAGAATGTCCTTGGATATTTTGTTAATGTGGAAAGAATACCCAACAGTTGCAGCCACCTACCAAATCATATTTCTCTCAAAGACAGAAAAATTCTTTTTAATCTCTCCATGGCTGACTATAGAGTTAATATTTCTGCCTATAATGAAGCAGGAGAATCTCCACAAGCTATCTACATTGTCCCAGAATTCTCTGTAACAGGTATTTATACCTTACCATCTATTCACCATAATGGTGGGGATATTTTATGACCAATCTCTAAGGCTACTTTTTCATGGACTTTGGGACAGGGGAAATAATTTTCTTGAATATATATTAGGCTAATATTTTTACATACTAGAAGTCAGAATTGTTTCTTAAGAAGATACTTCAGGAGAAGTTAACAGATTAGCAATTTAATATTCATTTTAGCACTCACTCCTTTCTTTGTAAAGCTAGAGAAAGTACCATGTGTTGGGTCTACTTAGGAAAATGGTGGATTTTACATAGGAAAATAGTTTATGGACGGTCCTCAATATCAAGTAGGTGTCAGTGGTTTAAAAAAATTCACAGAACTATATGCAAGTCTAAGTTCTTGAGCTAAATAACTATTAAGAGACTTCCTACTGTCCTTTATTTCAGTATTACTCTAACTGGCATACAAGAAAAGGAATAGATAGTATATACATGTCACATTAGGATGTACATGTCACATTCTAATGAAGATGTAAGCTTTTCTGAGACCTAAATAGACAATCTTTTAATTTAGGATTAAAACTTATTGTATAATGTCCTCCTTATAACATAAGCTAGTTTCATGTGTTACAGTCTCGAGGTGTATTTATTGCAATATATGAAGAACCTCTCTTACAAAGTAAGATATTCTAAATTCAGCTATAGCATTCAGAATAAAGAAGTGTGCAAGTACCCTTGTTGATCTTCCTACAGCTGCAAATGATTGCTTATCCAGAATTTTCTAGCACTCCCTTCATGCTGTTCTCCATTTCCTTGCAAAGAAGTAACAACTTGATTTTGCCCTTACGTTTCAGTCCCTTAGCTTTCTTCTGATAAAATTTATCTTACCAGTTCAAGCCAGTTTTTGACTGGCAATTAGTTGTCTACTGAACTCTGAACCTCTGAACCTCATGGCTCTCTCCAGATGCCTGTTTCTGTTTGATTGTACTTCACTGCGGCTTCTCTGTATCTATCATTAATTACTGAGAGGATACTTGCATTAAGTGCATTCTTAAGATAAAATCATTGAGTCTAACTTATGGCCTAACACTACCCTGTCAACTCAACTATGGTGCTAAAGCGACACATCCACTTTCTACTTAAACATCACCAGGGGCAGTAATTCCAGCACCGCCCTGCATGGCCCATATAAATGCAGAAACTCTCTCTCTATGAAGAAGTTCCTTCTAATGTCGAGCCTAAAGCTCCCCTGGCACAGTTTAACACTATGTCTCTTGTCCTATGGCTCATTGCCTGGGAGAAGAGACTGACTCCCCACATCCTCCTTTCAGGTAATTGTTGAGAGTGATAAGGTCTCCCCTGAGCCTCCTTTTCTCCAGGCTAAAAATCCTCAGCTGCCTCAGACAGCCCCAGGTCCCTCAGACAACTACAGCTCCTTCAGAATTAATTTGCCTTTCTTGTATTCGTTTCCAGACAGGAAATAAAATGGAGAATGTTTATGTCTCTCACAAGGTCCACTTCTTACCTCAAAATGGCAGGTTGCCCTTCTCCTTCCTTAGTGTCAGGCAGAAGGCCTTTCCTACTTTGATAGCCTGTCTTCTAAAATGTAAAAAATTTAAAGATCCTTTCAGAAAATTCAAAATATATGAAATATGAGATCATCTAGGTATGATCTATCATTAGCCCCTTCTCCTCCACCCCTGCTCAGGCAAGCACTATCTGAGTTTCTCTATGTAGAGCAGCTCCTAGTGGGTCACAGGAGGTTATTCAGCAGCACCTGACATCTTTTTCCACACTAATCCTCAGACACCTCTGCAAAGTAGTAAATGCCAAGTTTCTTCTGTTGTAATACTATTGTAAACCTTACTATGAAAAGTATCAAGTCACTTGCTATGATAACTGCTTAATGAATAATCTTTTAAAAACAGAGCAAAAGGGAGAAAGAGAGAACAATAGGGGAGAAAATGGCTTTCCTGTTTATTGACCTTTAATTGTGTATTTGTTCACAGACTTGCCTGGTCAAATCCATGTCAAAAGCCAGGGAAGAAATGCAATTGTCACGTGGACTCCAGAATACAATCCAAAATGTTTTGTGGTTGACTGGGGCACCAGTAAAGAGAATATGAAAATGAAAATAATAACCATGGCTACCGGAAATTTTACATTAGGTAACAGTAACCACCACATCTCCTAGAGAAGCTCCCTTTCATTTCTTGATTATCTTTGGTTGGGCAGAGTAGGATTTTTGTTTTGTTTTTAAGAGCAGATTGAAGATCCATCCAGGTAAGTACAGATCTTAATATTTGTCTAGTACTGAGTCGCCATCTAATGCTTAGCAACATTAAGGCAGATAAAGAGTTTTCATTGGGTTTTTCTGGATACTGTTCAGCAAGGAATGCAGCTAACTACTAGTACTAGTCTCTCCTTGCCCACATTACAGGCATTCCTATACATTACAGGCTTAAAAAAACCCTTTCATTTTGTACCTAGGTAAGCTTATATTTCAATATAAACTACTCTGTTACAGACTCCCTAAGATTAATTTCTATTTTTATACCAATGGCTACACTTGTCAATGCCTAAGTTCTTAACTCCAGTATTCTGATTACCATGAGACCGGTTTAAATCAGAGATTTCTTTATGGAACAGACATTGAAAATTTTGACTAAAATCATGTAGATAACTCTTGCAAAAGCCATTCAGCACTGTTTTTTATGTACAATAGAGAACATTTAGCTTCAGAGTTCTACGAATTCTTCTAGAGAGCTCACTGTTTACCTTTGTCCTTCTGCAACATCTGTAGTGCCACGTTGCGTCTAGGTTTTTTGCTTGGGTTTATATATTTTAGCTGAGTGGGAAATACCTATCCCTGAAACAAGATAACTACAATCATTTTAGCTCCTATTTTCTCCTTCAGCAGCTAAGGAGACTATACACAACTGTCAATCATAGGGAGACTATAAACACACCTGTCATCTTCTAAAAGAAAACCCATGTTTTGTCCTGTTCTGGCTTTAAAATAGTTTACATAAAGCATCTAGAGACACTGAAGAAGGATGTACATATTTTGTACTCAATAGAAAGCACTATACACTTTTGCTATGCTATGAGTCTCAGAAAGCAATAACTATACAGAAATCTATGAAGCTGTTACCTTTCCTTTTCTTTGTAATTTATAACTTTTCAGTAGATCTTGACATACCTTTATTTGTTTTCCAGATAATTTTCAGCCATATAAGTTGTACAAAATAATGGTACATGCATCTGATGTGTGTCAGTGTGAAAGTTTCATAAGACATGAAAAGACTTTTGGAGTGACCCACTTTTACTCCGTTGAAGGAGGTATTCCTCCCCTTTGTGTAACCAAACCCTCTATATTTCTTCTTGTTTCCTATTTGTAGCAATAGAAAGTAGACTACACAAAATTTCTTTTCCAGGTGACTGAGCAGCTTTCTCCAGTTAGCTTTGCCTTTATTTTCAGCAGTTATGTCCTGGCAGTGAACAACCTGAATGCTGTTCCTTACTGACATGTCCACAGAAATATTTTTATTATGTGTGACATTACCAAAAATAACAGAATGATGGTCTCAGACCCGTGTGGCTCAAATTTAAATTAAATAAGAGTTCCCAATCCCAATTTCATCATGTCTCATATTGCAAGTTGAAATGAGTATGGCTGTTGCTATTGGAGTAAAATATTCATAATGAGATAGTCACAATTTCTATCTACTTTGGTATTGTTTAAGGTGAGAGGTTTTTACTCTGTGGGACTTTGCCTTTCTCTTACACCCTTCCCATTGCATTTATAGCATCTGGAAATTGACAAGAACTCTCTTGGAAACAAATGTCCATTGCACAGGTATTGATGTAGAACTCAAATATCTGTTTTTTTCAAGTCCCGAGGACTGGTCCAACTAATGTGACAATTCTGAATATCACAAAGCATTCTGCACTTGTGAAGTGGACTGAAATAGCTGCAGAAGACCGTTTGGGCTTTCTCCAGGGATACAGGATCAGTTACACAGATTCATCAAGGAAAAAGTCTCCAGGTAAGTCACCACTGCCAGAACAAAGCAGAAGCTCAGGATCACAAAAGAAAAGCTTCATTCAGACCATTAAGTCTACTGAGTTATTTATGATTTCTGTACAAACTGAGTGCTCTGCTCTCAAAGGTCAGATCCTGGTTAGACTTTTAATGCTCTAGATGCTCCTATGAACACTTAGAATGCTCTAGTGTTTATCTCAAATTATTAAGGAAATTGCTACTTCCTTAAAAATTACATTTCTAAGACTACATCAGAATTATTTAGGAACTTAAAGGAAGACACACATTTTCACTATTACAATTTCAGTCACAACTATTTTATGTTTCATTGTGCCTCATCCAAGCTTGAATCTGAGCCTTTTTATAAGATACAAGACACGCTACATTTCATTTTCAACTCAATTAACAGTTTTCATTTCTTACCTATTTCCAAAGACACCATTAAAAATTTAATTTTGGAAACATTTTATTAAATTGGTAGTTTTTATGTCTAAATTTGGATAACCTTAAAGGTCTTTTCCAACTTTAACAAACTACAAATGATGAAACTTCTACACATGAGAATAAATGTATGGCTATGAATTCAAACCACTTGAGTTTTCAATTTTAAAAATCCCCATATTATTTTGATAAACATTTTCTTTCTGGTCTAGAGTGGAAATTCTCTTTGCCATAATGAATAATACATTAACTTTATATGTATTGGCTTTCAAATAAAATTGAAGACATGATAGGAAAGACAAATATCAAGTGACAAAGCTGACAAAGGGAGATAGTAAGAGTTTTATAATACACGTACACCTATGCCTTTAGAGAACCATAAAAAGTCTTCTGGAGATTCTATTCCACTTCAAATGACTATCTGAAATCATAAGAGGAAGCAGAATGGGAACAACCAGAACATATCTTTTCTTTCCCTCTGCCTTAACCAGTCAATACAGCAGTGACATGGCACCCAATTGCCATTTATTTCCAGGCAGGAAGTATAATTTTACTGGAAAATCTGAGGGAAGAAAGTCCATAGGCTACAGCATCACATCCCCTTCTGTGAAGATTTTAACTCCACACTGGCAAACTTGAGGAGTAATTTCTCCCCCAAAGGCATCCTTACAACATGGCAGTTTCTACATTATTCTGGCCAAGGGAAAAGTCACTGTACCATCAGAAAAGACAGGCTGAGCTGAAAGCCCCACAAAGCAGGTAAAGCAGAAAGCACAGCCCTATTTCTGTACTGAATGATGAGTAATAGCATTGGCACAAATCAAGCTAAGCAAACTACTGACAACTGGAGTGAGAGTTAAATGTATGATAAGGGCTAGTCCTCATGTTACCTCTTACAGTTGACATAAGAACAACTGTTCAGCATGTTAGATGTATTTTCCTCTCATGAAGTATAAACAGCCTTCTGCATTCATCACCTGTGATGGTTTAACCCTGGCTGGATACCAGAGTCATTGGATGCCAGAGCCACTCTATCACCTCTGCAAGTGGACAGGGGAGAGGAAATGTAACAAAACATTAATGGGTTGAGATAAGGACAAGAGACAATATGCATTACCACATGGGCAAAACAAACTTGACTTAGGGAAATTAATGGAATTTATTCCTAATGAAATTCAGATTAGAATAATGACAAGTAAAATTAACCTTTACAACACTTTTCTCCACCACTCCCTCCTTCCCCAGGCTCTAGCTCTTCCCCACCATCAGCACAGAGAGACACAGACTGGGAGTTACAGGTAGTTCATCACAGATTGTTTCTGACATTGCTCAGGGAGGAGAGGCCTTCTCCTGCTCCTGCATGGGTTGCCTTCCATGGGAGACAGCTCTCCATGAACTTCTCCAGCATGAGTCCATCCCATGGGCTACAGTTCTTTACCAACTGCTCCAGCATCCACAATGTTTACTTCCTATAGGATGAAGGCCTTCAGGCACAGCCTGCTCCAGCACAGATTTCCCACAGGATCACAAGTCCAACCAGCAAACCTGTTGCACTGTGGGCTCCTCTCTCCATGAGTGGGCAGGTTCCTGTAAGGACCCTGCTCCAGCACAAGCCTCCCATGGGTTCACAGCCCCCTCTCAGGCATCTGCCCGCTCTGGCCTGGGTCTCCTCCAGGGGCTGCAGGTGGATCTCTGCATCCTCCTGGATGTCCATGGGCTGCAGGGCCACAGCTGCCTCACCATGGTCTCACCATGGGCTGAAGGGGAACCTCAGCTCCGGAGCCTGGAGTGCCTTCTGTCCCTCCTTCACAACAGCAGGGCTGTTCCTCTCACATATTGTCACCCTGCTCTTCTCTGGCTGCAATTACATTTGCAGAGTAACTTTTTTCCTTCTTAAATCTGTTATCACAGAGCCATTTCTAACTGGTTCAGCCTTGGCCAGAAGCACATCCATCCTGGGGCCAGAGGGATTGGCTCTGTTGGACATGGGAAGCTTCTGGCAGCTTCTCACAGAAGCCAACCCTGTAGCACCCCTGCTACCAAAACTTGGCCATACAAACCCAATACAGCCTTGGTGTGTTAAAAGCTCATGCTTTTAACCTCTGGATTTAAAATGTAGATAAATATTTTGGAGAAATCTTGTACCTACCCAAAGAACATCTGTACAGCCTGGTTTCCTCCAGATGAGGATCAGGGGACTGAAATTGTGCCATTTGCCCAGTCAGCTATGCTGATACATGCTCAGACCTGAGAGTTCATCCAATTATCTCCTAAAACCTCTTGTGTTTCAGCTGTTACTCTCAATGCTTCTGTCACAAGTTACCATCTTACTGGACTGAAGGAAAAGACCACCTATCGTGTGCAGATTTCAGGATTCACTAATGCTGGAGAAGGACCTCTGACTCTTTCACAGCCTTTCAGCACTCCAAAATATGGTACTGTGGAACCTCTGTGCATCTCCATTACCCGGCATGAATTTCTGTTTTATGTTCTCTCAATGTTCACTCACAAGGTTTATTATTCAATCCTCAGTTACTGAGAGCAAACACAAAAAAATTGTTCCTCTGCAAAAGGTAAACTTTGTGTCACAGAACAAAGTATTTCATTATATACCTGTATATTACCTGTATTTCATTACCTAGTATACAGGGAATTTATCTAGGATTCTTCATCTCTGAAACCTTTTCAACATTTTTGTGCTAGCTATGTGCACATATCTTTATTTATTGGTAATTACTGTCTAGATTTCAGCAGATGAAATTTTTGCCTGTGACTAGTAATGCTCAATCATTTGTTTTTGTCAAAATCCTGAGTAGTCATGTAAAGTTAGCTTCCTGAGCCATTAACTGCAAAAATGAAAGATTAAGTATCTTTCAATTGCTCCTAGGGTGGGTGAACACTAGTCAAAGTATCCTTTGTTTTCTGATAATTTAAGTCCATTTTAAGTAATAGGTCCTTTAGGTCAGTAAGAAAAGTTTGCCTTTCTCAGAGGTGTCTGGATAGGTTAAGACCAATATAATTGCATTAAAAAAGTTAAAAAAACTTAAAATCATGTAAGGTTGGCTAAACTTAGTCTTTCAAACATTTTTAACCTCATAAGTTAAACTAAAGCTAACACTGCAACAGACATTTTTTTCATTTGACCACAGCTTCCCTTAATGACGGTTTCTAAATAGAAAAATAATAGAACATGCTAAGATGGTATCAGTAACCTGTGATATTCAGAAACAGAAGTATGCAAATGGTTTCTCCCCACTGCAGCTTTTTTGTATTAAGTGAAGGAGGTATAAAACCATACAGCTGAATAGTAAAAAATGTACAGCAGAGATTAAAATAAAATAGAAATTTAAAATCTTCCTTGAAATCAACAGGATTTGCACCCCTCCTCCCCCCACTGAAAACTTTCTCCTGTCAACACAAAATATTAAAGTCTCTCCCTGGAGCTTTTCTTCAGGACTCTATTTCACTCATCCTACCAAATATATATTTGGAAATCATTCAATTTTTCACTAAAGTAACAAAAATTCAGAGTGAAATTAACACAACATTTTAAAAATTTGAGTAATTACACTGAATTTAAACATTACATTTACTATTTTTGCTATTCCCAAACATTTCATAGGTTATTTAATCCATTAGAAGTATCTCAGGTTTCTTTGATATAGAAAGCAAATTTGCAAAGCAATTTGCAGCTTTCCAAATTAGTTTTGAACTTTAGGTAGCTGTTTGGTAAAAAAAAAATACTATTGTTTGGGGATGGAAAAGAAAAAGCAAGTGCCCTTTTTTTGCAAATATGATTTGTCAATATCAGTAACACAATCATGAGCTGACCAAGTGTCAGGAAAACAGGGGCAGACTCTTTTCTGCGGTGCCCAATGACACAACAAGAAGGAATGAGCATAAACTGAAACACAGGAATTTCCACCTGAAATGAAGAACTTCCTTACTGTGAGGGTGATAGAGTACAGGAATAGATTGCCCATAGAGGCTGGGGAGTCTTCTTCCCTAGAGATACTCAAAACCTGCATGGATGCAATCCTGTCTCACCCGCTTTAGGTGAACCTGCTTTAGCAGGGGATTAGAACAGATGATCTTCAGAGGTGCCTTCCAATCCCAACCATTCTGTGATTCTATGATACCTAGATATCTTAAAAATACAAACCTGAAAAGCTCACATGCCCCTGAGAATACCAGCTTTAGTTTTAACTAGATTTTACTTACATTCCAGGACACATGCAAAGCTGGCTTTAACTTCTATTTGAATATTTCTCTCATGAACTTAAATAGGTCTTCCTGTACTTAACACCATAAGTCTGATTCAAGCTTTCTGTTTCCCATCAGATAAAGGAGAACTTGAAGGTTTTGTGATTGGTCTTTGTTTCAGCATGATACTCATTCTGGTTTTTGCACCTCTCACTTGTTCTCTGGTGATTAAAAGGTAAGAACACAATATCAACTGGAGTTGTTAGCAGCACTCTTGTTTTGCTTAGCTCTGAGTTTCACAACAGTGGGCCTTTTTTGTCATTAAAGTCAACGTAACTCAAAAAATGCACAACACGAAAGCCACCACAGTAATCTCACAGTGAGAGCACTTACAAGCCACTATAAGCTGATTAAAATGGTAAAACAAGTTGGTAAAAAAATCTATACTCTTTAGATTTTGATTCCTTTATCTGATTACATCCTGTCACAAACATGCTTAGAAAGAGCCAGGACCATTTCTCACATTGGGATATATGCTTTAGATTTATAGATAAAGCATGCATTTTATTATTTTTATCTAAGATGTTTCTTGCAAACACATTTGGGTATTAAATTTATGAAGTATGCATATAAGTTCATAATGACAAGAAGCAATATATGAATGAGTAGGAACAAGAGATAATAACAAGGTGCCTATAATATCTGGCAGTGGTCCTCTTATTTGATGAAAAATTATTTTCTGTAATATTAAAGTATTCATCCCCACTTAACAATCTGAAGTACAGTATCAGGGACATATACTATGACTAAAAGGTTTGCATAGTAATGGGTTCTAATAATAATTTTCTGACAAACCTAATTTCATACAGCCACTCATGTTACTATTTAGTGTCCTAGAATGCTACCTTCCCTTTTTCTCCTCTTCACAAAGCACCAGCTTCAGAAGCTGAAAGCACAGCTGCTGAAGGACAGATGGCACAACCTGTGGCTTATGAGCCACACAGCATGACATAGCTTGCTTTAGCTTTAAACTCTTGTCCTTGCCTCTGGGAAACAGACTCTGCATTTTCAGATTGTATTTTAAGTTGTGCTGTGTCTGATACAACAGTTTTGACAGGAACTTCTGGGACCTGCCTAGTTTTGACCTATAGGAAACTTTGTTGTGTTCAACATAAGATCACACTTCATTGTCTGGGCCCAATAGGAAAGAGGAAAGGGGAAATGAAAAAACAAACCAGGAAACAACCAGGCAGCACACAGGAGCCCAGTGTAGCACTACAAAATAGTGCTTAAATTTGTATATTTGTAGTAATATTGAACCCTTTGAACTGAGATAAACGGCCCCAGTGATGTCTTCATCTCAATTGCCTTCTTGATTTGCAAGAAAGGAGTCACCAGCCAGTCAAACACCCATCTTCACAGGATCAGCAGGAGATTCAGTAACTTTACAGCCACAGTCTTCACTCCAACCACAGCCTAAGCAGAGGCAAAGTACCCTAAAGCTAATGAAGTCTAGCTTTAATTTCAAAATTGAAAAATACTGAAGCCAACACTAAGACAGAGCGATGGACTACCTAAACTCTCAGCCTCTCTTACAGCTTTGTTGAGGCTTTTTTTATGGAGTTGAGATACTGTTTGCAATAGCTCCCAGAATGAGCCAAACTCAAAACAATCAGGAAAGAGCAGGAGTTGTGTTTCCTTAGAGCTTCCTCCAGACTACCAGTACCATTGCACAGGGGCTGAATGCAACCGTATCTTGGTCTTTGTTTTCAGGGGAAAGGAAACTTTTAAATCAAAGCCCAGGAGCAAATACTTACTGAAACAAGCTTCATCCTCTATGTCCCAAAGCCCTCAAGGAAGATGGAGATTTTGTGGAAATAATAACAAATTAGATGTATAGAAATGTTAGATATATAGATTAAATGTACAGAAAGAGACAACATTGCCAGCACTTGCACAGCTCCTTTGTCATTAAACAAGGATGATAACCATCATTAACTCAATATTTCAGTGTAGACTATCAAGTTTGGTCTTCAGCTTTTAATTAGCATTATGCTTAAATGTCTCTGTAGAACACCTTTTTTTTATGGTTACAAAATGTTAATCTGTTATGTATGAAGATTAATTAATTTAAATGTACAGGAAATGTCAGTCATCGAACCTGATGTTAAATATAAAATACTTATTTACAGGCTGAAAACATCATACTGGCACAGTGTACCCACCCCAGGAAACAGCACTGCACTCCAAGATATGGTAAGTACTCTTCTGACAGCATAAAAAAATACACAGGGGAGATCTTTGATAAATTTATAATGCTAGTTATCTGTCCTTTCACACTTGACTCTAGAAAATAGTCTAATATCAACTGCTTGGAAGCCAGAGTAATATTCGAAATATAGGATGGGGGATAGTTTCTATTTAGGCCTAGGCTATATAGATTTTAAAATTTAATAATGGTCTCAGACTTTTTTTGAGTACATTGTAAATAATTTTTAAATACATGATCCTTAAAAGAACAAATCAAAGCTGAATGGAGGTAGATGGAGTCTAAAAGAAATTCAGTTTTTATATCCAGTCAGTTTTCGCCAACTCAAACTGATTATGAAGGAAGTACAAGTTTTTCAAAATATAAAGTAGTGAATTGTGGCCTAATTCCAGAGAAGTATTATGACAGAGGCCATGTAACATGGTGTTTTCTGAAGTCTGCTCCTCAGTCCCTGCTTGCCTCCAAAACAATCAAGGGGCTCTGATTGGCAGCTGGGAGCTGTCTGAGGAGCACCAACCGGTCAACAGGCAACAAGGTTCAGCAGCATGTTCACATCTTGCCCACAGCTTTCCCATATGTTTTGGTAAGTATACCTGAATTTCAGCACAAAATAAGCAGGAAAATCAGCTGTTAGGAAAAAATACAGCTATTACAATCAGCTGCTGGAGACCACATTATCCACTTTTGCCTATTAGTAGACTTATTTGTTTCTTCCCCTTTTTGCCTTCCCCCTTTTAACAAGATTTCTACTGCAGTTTTGGTGACATCTGATACTAAAAGTCCTCCTTTTAGAACACCTAAGTTTATCTCTTAAGTCTCAGACCACCTATGATTGTGTTTTTGTAGCAAGAATTAGCAGTTTTCCTTTTTAAATCTCTTTTTCTGGAAGACTTGAACTTAATTTGGCACTGGACAATCTAGTTGTTTCTCTCATGAAATTTAACAAGGAGGCTTCTATCTCATCAAATTTTGGGCATTGGCTAGTAGGCATCTACTGTCCAGAACTGTGATACAGAGTGAAGTAATAGAAACGATATTTCAGAAAACCCTGATAGTCTGCTGATAATCAGAAGTTTTGCTGAAAATCAGCATTGTTTCCTGCAACAGAGCAAGCATGAATTTTCATATTTCAGATGAGGACTTCCTCGCTTGCTTTCTTCCTTTCTTCCACCTAAATGTAGATAGAGAAGTGATGAGTTCAGAGCTAGTCATCAGGTAGCCATTTTGCAATGAAGAATTGCAAATGAAGTATGCTGAGACTGCATGCTACAGAAAGAACAAATAAGTTTTATGAACCACAGTGCCATTTTGACATAAAATGCTTAAAAATAAAATATATTAATTTAAAATGCCTTTAACTTTTCCTGCAGAGGTAAAGTAACTATCAAAGAAAATTAAGTCTGTATTAACTATGCCTGGTAGAGAATATTGTAACATTGATAACATGTAAGACACAGAAATACCAGATACCAGATAATGGTTTGGGAGAAAGCAGAAAAAGCACTATGTCAGGAGACAGTACAATAAACAGTTTACCAGACATATTGTCTAGAAGTAATTTGGTATTCTGAACAATTAATGAACTGTGGAGAAAGATATTCCCCAAATAGGCATGGCAAAACAGGAGCAGGGAGCAAATCCTGCTACATTCTGTACATTCACTTGATTTCTAGTTGTTCCAAGACTGAACCATGTCAGTTTAGTTGAGCAACTTAGCAACTCTCAAAAAAAAAAAAAAAAAAAAAAATCAAAAAAAGGCAGCAAGACAACTTGTTGTCCAGAAAGAGGATCACTTAGCAAAATATAAGTCAATCATACATCCCATGGTACAGAGCAGCAGGAGGAACTGAAGACACTCTCATTACAGAGACCAGGAAAATGAGCTATGAGGAACTAAAATGTCAGTCAGTCACCCAAACTGAACTATGGGGAACTAAAATGAAAATGAATTATGAGGAACTAAAATATCAGTCACCGAAACTAGTCTCCTCTTCTTCACATATAGCCAAGATTCTTCTAAGATACTTCTTCTTCTTCACTTATTGCCTCTTTCAGACAGAATCCTAGCATTGCTATGTTGTTTGGAAAAGACCCCCATGGTCATCAATTCTAACCATTGAACAGCACCACTCTGCTCACCACTAATCCATGTCTCCAGGTGACACATGTAGACTTTTCCAAACACTTTCAAGGATGGTGAATCCACCACATCCCTGGTGGGATCACCACGCCTGACCACCCTTTTAGAGAAGGAATTCTTCCTAATATCCAATCTAGACCTTTCCTGGTGCAACTTGGGGCCATATCCTCTCATCCTGTCACTTGTTACTTAGGCAAAGGGACCAACTCCCACCTGGCTACATCCTATTTTCAGGCAGTTGTAGGGAGCGATAAGGTTCCCCCCGAGCCTCCCTTCCTCCAGGATAAACACGCCCAGCTCCCTCAGCCACTCCACATTGGACTTGTGCTCCAGACCCTTCCACAGCTCTGATGCCCTTCTCTGGACATGTCTGAGTATCTCAACATCCTCTCTAAACTGAGGGGCCCAGAACTGAACACAAGATTTGAGGTGTGGCCTCACCCATGCCAAGTACAAGGGGACAATCCCTGCCCTGGTCTTGCTGGCCACACCATTGCTGATCCAGGCCAGGATGCCATTGGCCTTCTTGGCCACCTGGGCACACCCTGGCTCATGTTCAGCTGCTGTCACCAGTGCCCCCAGGTCCTTTCCTGTCACTCTGCCCCAGCCTGTGGAGCTGCCTGGGGCTGTTGTGACCCAAGGAGAGGACCTGGCACTGGGCCTTGTTGAACCTCACACCATTGGCCTCAGTCCATGATCCAGCCTGCCCTGATCCCTCTGCAGAGCCTTCCTGCCCTCCAGCAGATCAACACTCTCACCCAGTTTGGTGTCACCTGCAAACCGCCTGAGGGTGCATACCATGAGATCATTGGTGAAGATACTAAACAGGACTGGCCCCAGTACTGAGCTCTGGGGAACAGCGCTGGTGACTGAACACCAGATGGATGTAATTCTGCTCACCACCAGTCTCTGGGCCTGGCCATCCAGGCAGTTTTTTACCCAGTGAACAGTGTAACTGCCCAAGCCAGGAGCAGCCAGTTTATCCAGGAGAATTCTGTGGGAAATGGTATCACAGGCTTTACTAAAGTCCAGGTAGACATAAAACCTATTTTAGATTTGGTAGCTTTGGAATTTGGGCTACTCTTCCTAAAAAAATATGATAATGAACATACATATCATTCAGATCTTTATTCAAAACAAGGCAGAAGTTAACCATGCAGTGACGTCAACTTATCCCATTACAAGAGAAAAAGAGAGATATTTTATTTGGTATTGCTGAGACTTCATTGAACAACATTCTCATTTCTTGGTCAGATCACAACTTATGAGAAGAAAGAAAATAAAAAACAATGCACACTTACTTATTTATTGCAAAAAAGCTGCGTTTAAACAAGTTTAGAGCATTTGGGGGCAGGCAGGGTGGGGAAGAAAGAAAAAATGTAACAGCTCTACCAGCCTGCCCATCATTTAAAAAACATTATGTCAAACACAGAACAATCTAAGAGGAAAATAAGGAAGCTTGGTGTTACCAACTGTTCTCCATTTAAACATCCAGAATTTGCAAAAACCTTGTTACCCTAGGTATACCCAGATCACAAACTTCATGGCATGAAGTTTAATAACAAACTGTTCATAGCAGCTGACAGCTTAATCTTGTCTGGCTGCTGTTCAAGTTGCTGGCTTTTTATAGGAATATATTTGCTAAATTTTTTGAAAGCTGTGTTCTCAGAACATCATGAGGTTTACATTTTATCATCACTACTTTTGTTCCCAAGTAAACACAAAAGCAAGAAAAAACTGATTAAATACTATGGGACTGGAGAAGATGATCCTTTAAATTAGGTATTTTCAGTCATATTTCTAAAACCAAAGACGAGCTAAAATTGATTAATTAGCATATTATTCTTTTCTCTTGCTTTGTCTCACAGACTAATTGGAAACCTCTTTCAAGGTCACTGCTTCAGGCCCTGTCAGACAATGATACCACCAGCCTTTTTGTCATAGAGCATGAGTCAAAGGTTTCTCTGACGCTTGACCTCTCCACAGAGGTTGGAGAAGACAAGCATAACACCTGCCAGTCAGAAAAACCTAGCAATAACATAGATGTGAGCCTGAGGCATGAAGAAATCCCTGCAGAAGCAGTTACAAGTGAAGAAGACGCCATTCCCACGGAAGTAGCATTCTTGAGTGACTATGCCAGCATGGAGTTTAGTCAGAAAGCCCTGATGAGTCTGGCAGTGAGCACACCTGAAAGAGCTGCTCATCCTCATCTGAAAATGGAACTAAGCAGTAAGCCAGCAAAAACTGTGCAGAAGGTTTTGTTTGCTTCCCAGGACTACCTCAAACAAAGCCAGGTGGTACGTCTGCCATCTGGACCAAATTTCATGGGACAAGTCAATTAAACCTGAAGCATCTTCTTTATTTTCCTTACCATAAAATGAAGTTCCAAATCTTTTTCTTCTGTGGAGTCACTAGGACTTTATGGGACAGGGAGCTTGTGACAATAGTTATTTCCACTACAGTAAGTTTCCTGGGAAAAATAGATAGATTGTATTATTAGATTAGCTGTTTCACCACAGCCATCCAGTGGAAAGTCCCACCATCTTCACACAGGCAAAACTTTTAGGAACTTACATTTAAAAATATTTCAGTAAAGTACCTCTTGCTTGGTATTTTGTTCCAGGGCATTCAGGAGCCATTCAAGGCTTCCACTCTAAGCACAATGTCATTGTAGATATCAGGAAACTTCTCCACTCACTATGACTAACTTCAGATCCGATTTTCAGATCAAGTAAGTTCTTCACCAAAAAAACTTCCAGCAAAAGTATCTACCACTTCAAAGAAGATCTCCAGTTGGTCAAAGCTGGTCACAGAAATTAGTGAAAATCTCTCAGACTAGGAATCCAAAGTTTGCTTATTGATCTATGTAAAACACCATTAGCGCTTTTCATTCTAGAACTTTACAACTTTAATAATTTAATCAGATAAATAGTGCTGTGTAAGTGAAGATGATAATAAGTTTCATTAAGAATATTGAAGATGTTACTTGTATTAAATTAAGGCTATTTCCTCCTACAACTATCTACACATTAAGAAAAACCCATCCATCATTTGTGATGAGGTGTAGTTGCAGATATGTTTTTACACTGCAATGACAATAACTGTTAAACTGGAATAGAGGGGATAAAAGAATCTTCCTCAATATGCTTTCTATGCAACTCCATCATGTATCTCCACAATGCAAGGAGTCAATTTTCAGGCTTATGAGAATTTCTCAGTCATGAACTCTCCAAGCATTAATGGTCTGCACTTATTGTAGAAGACACAGTTTATTGTTGTTGTCTCGAGTTTAAGGAGCACTTTGTAAAAATTTCTTTGTGGAGAAAGAAATTGATAACTGTATCGTAAGCACCAGAGAATCCATAGATGGATATTTAAAAAAAAAATCTCATTAAAAGTGAAGAATGATTGGCATTCACACAAATATTTCCACTCATACTAGGCAGTATGAATTATACAATAGCCATGCTTCAAAAACTCAGAGAAATTCCACACCTCCACTTCATTGATTTAGTGAGAATCCATAACAAAACATAGCTTATTAATTTTCCTCATTTATATTCACTCTCTCTTTAGCTACATCTCTCTATATCTGTTAAGACTGCAAGGAACTAACCTGTATTTCACTGTAGGTTGTGCACTGTATTTTTGCTTAGCACCTAAATTTCATTGTTCTCCCACAAAGCAAAGTGCACTCGTATCTGTTAAATTAAAATTGAAACAAAGGGGTAAGAGAAGCACTCCCTAGAGATCACACAATTTTGGACAGTCTTTTAAATATCTTTATTTTTTTGAACTTTAATATGTGATTTTACCTGATTTGAATTTAAGAGAATGCAAATGATCCTGCAATTAGTGAAGCTATTTTTACTTGTAATATCAAGTTGAGGTATTGAAATGCTGTCACAGACAATGAAGTTCTGATATATAATCTTTATAAAGTAGTCATAATTTGTTCCTCTCCAGAATATAAGGATTATCCATGATCGTTACTTACAGTATTTCTTTCATTTCTGGTCAAAGAAACTTATTTTCTTGGTGCATACCTTCAATAGCTTTATTCATCCCCGTAAATACCAAATTCTTCTTTTCTTACTCTGCATCTAACAAACCAATACTTATTTTTCTGTTATGGATAAAATATATATATAGTAAGTTGAACCAAATCAAAGGCTTGCAAGTATTTTCAGTATATGAAACAGTCTTGATATATGAAACTCAACAGACAGCTTGAGCTTTTAACCTGGTGATTATCAGCTGCACTCTACTAGCCATTGTCTGACATCTTGCTATAGAAAATTCATATAGCAGGAGAGTTGTACTAGAAGCATCCATGGATATTAAATAGAAGGTATAGATGTATTCTATTTTCAGTTATAAAGTTCACAATGTATGTAATTCTTAGTTGATCTCATTAGAGCAAATTTACACAATGGCCATAAACAGTACTTTTGGGAGAATAAGAGATACATGAAAAATCCTGGTGTGGAGATTAGGAATAAATTCAAAACTCATCCCATCATGATGTATGCTTTGAGAGCAAGGAAAGAACCTTTTATGTGGACAGAAATAGAAAAATATGTTTGCTAAATAGTTTCATGCAGCCAAAAAGGGGGTTTAGTTGGAATTAATGTACTTACTCTGGGACACAGGATTAGGAGACATACTAGGCTCAGGTCTTCAGGTTAGGAAAAAATAGATGTCTGTGGTATGTCTTTTGGTTGACTGTCCTGTGGTGATTTTTAGTTCAGTTAGAAGAGTCCTACAACAATAATCTCATTGTACTCCCTGACCTCTTCAGGCAGTTTAAAAAGCTGTGTGCATATACTGGTGTATAGTGACTGCAGAAACCTTCTTACACAAATAAACATGTAAGATAGTTTATTCCATGTGAGTTTATTCCATGTGCTATAGTACTGTTCAAGTGGTTAATGTAGTGTTCTTAGCATCAATATTCTTAGCTTTAATATATGTTGTGTTGAGTGAAATTGTAGATATGAAGGCTCAGGACCACAAAAGACAATTAAATTTTTGCTGTTTTTTTACTGTCAGCATAGCTCTGGATGATCACTGTCAGCATTAGTGAGAATTTAGACATGATAAAAGCTTAGACAACTGCAGACCTGGAAGCACATCATCATCGTGATTTATAGCATGGGATATCATACTGCAAGGCTGCAGTACTTTAGCATTCCGTATTTACAAAGAAAGGAAAGTAATACTCCGTCTCTAATACAGCACAAAGCTAGGTTAGTACACATGCATTTTTCTGGTATCCAGAGTAGATGTTTTTTTCTTGCATGGACATGAGGACTTTTTATTATTTTTGATTTTTTATTTTATTTTTAATTTAGTGCTTAAAGTCAGACTACAGTGCAGTAGTTAATTCTCTGAGAATTAACACTGTGTCAGAGAGAAAACAAACAAGTACTCACTCTGGAAGAGGAGATTGCAGCAACCACAATATTGTAGAGTTTTATTCTGTATTAGTTAACAAGTGAATAATAATATCTACAAATTCCCTCAGAATCTAAGCCTTTAATCTTAGACCCTTAACCCTTAGGGCCGCTTTTATGGCACAGTAGTATCTGCACTTGAGCAGAGCTGTCTGGAAAGCAAAGAACACAGGGGTGTCCTGCCAAGTCAACTACAATTATTGCTACAAAAATTGTCAAATAATGAAGCACTTCATGAAAGACCTCTGGTTACAGAAGGTACTCTTGACTTGGTGTCACAGGCTCTTGGCATGCCTGTTTCTCTCTCTCAATGGCCCTGTGTGTCTGCTGCCTGAATGAGGTTAAATGTCTTCTAGTACAATGTCGATGGAATTTGTATGAAGCTGGGTAATAAAACTTGTGACAGCTTACACCACTCACTTCTGAGCACTGTTTGTAGAAGACTGCTAAGACAAATCACTCCATGCCAGTGGTGTTGGGATGGGAATAATCTTATCTTCATACCTATTTCAATTCTACAGAAGCACCAGCTTGATAATAAAACTGAAAACAACCTGCTGTGCTAGAAATGGTCATTCCCATTACCCATCCTCAGAGACCCCTCCAGTGCTTCACCGAATCATGGGATCACTGAGGTTGGAAAAGACCTTTAGGATTGAGTACAAGTGCAAACCTAACACTGCCAAGCCTACCACTAAACCATGTCCTTAAGTGCCTCCTGGGATGGTGACTTAACCAGTTCCCTGGCTAGTGTGTTCCAAGGCTTGGCCACTCTTCCTGTGAAGAAATGTTTCCAGCTATTCAATCTAAACCTCTCCTGGTGCAACTTGGGGCCATATCCTCTCATCCTGTCACTTGTTACCTGCGATTATATACTGACCCTCATCTCACTGCAACATCCTTTCAGGCAGGTGTAGAGAGTGATAAGATCCCTTCCCTGAGCCTCCTTCTCTCCAGCCTAAACATCCCTAGCTCCTTCAGCCATCTCTTGTAAGACCTATGCTCTAATTTCCTTCCACAAAGCTAACCCCAAGCAAACAGGGCTTATTACTTACCAGGAAGGAAGTAATCTGAATTTGTTGAAGTGGTAGACACAGGAAGGACAAAGAAAAGTCCGAAGAATGACGGGCAAAGCTACAGCCAGCACTGACAGGAAAACAGATTAAATGGGTTCAGGTCCTTACTGGAGACACTGAAGCCTAAGTAAGGTGGAGAGTAGTAAACATGTTATTTTACTTGAAAAATTACAGGCTGCAGCCAGTTTTTCATAGATTAATAGTTTTTCATAGATTGCTAGCATGAAGTGGGTAACAGAACAATAAGCACAAAAATAACAGAACAATATGTATTCTCTGATTTTTCCCAAACAGTAATTTGGGGACAGACCCAGAGAGGTGGTGAACGGTGCTGCATCCAGATGGAGATCAGTCACCAGTGATGTCCCCCAGGGATCTGTGTTGGGCCCAGTCCTGTTTAATATCTTTTCTGATGATCCAAATGAGGGGATTGAGTCTGTCACAGTAAATTAGCAGAGGACACCAAGATGGGTGTGAGTGTTGATCTGCTGGAGGGTGGGAGGGCTCTGCAGAGAGACCTGGACAGGCTGGAGAGATGGGCCGAGTCCAGCAATCGGAGGTTTAACAACACCAAGTGCCAGGTCCTGCACTTTGGCCACAGCAATCCCTGCAGTGCTACAGGCTGGGGACAGAGTGGCTGGAGGGTGGCCAGGCAGAAAGGGACCTGGGGGCACTGGTGACAGCAGCTGAACATGAGCCAGGGTGTGCCCAGGTGGCCAAGAAGGCCAACAGCAACCTGGCCTGGATCAGCAATGGTGTGGCCAGCAAGACCAGGGCAGGGATTGTCCCCCTGTACTTGGCACTGGTGAGGCCACACCTCAAATGCTGAGTTAAGTTCTGGGCCCTTCAGTTTAGAGAGGATGTTGAGATACTCAAACATGTCCAGAGAAGGGCATCAGAGCTGTGGAAGGGTCTGGAGCACAAGTCCTGTGAGGAGCAGCTGAGGGAATTGGGGTTGTTTAGCCTGGAAAAAAGGAGGCTCTAGGGAGACTTAATTGCTCCCATCAACTGCCTGAAATGAGGGCGCAGTCAGGTGGGGGTTGGTCTCTTCTCCCAGACAACCATTGACAGGACACAGCCTCAAGCTGTGCCAGAGGAGTTAAACTAGGCACTGGAAAAAATTTCTTCACAGAGTGATTGGGCCATGGAATAGGCTGCTGAGGGAGGTGGTGGAGTCACCATCTCTCAAAGTGTTTAAAGAAAGGCTGGATGTGGCACTCAGTGAAATGGTTTATTTCATAAGGTGGAGTTAGGTCATAGGTTGGACATGATCTCCAAGGTCTTCTTCAACCTATTTGATTCTGTAATTCTGTAATTGCTACCGTTAAACTTTGCCAGTAGTGGTTCAAGCCAATTCAGCAATCAGCAACCATTGGCTTTCTTCCGAGTTCTAATTAACTAACCATTCTGGCATTCGTTTCACATGTGTGCCTACTGGGTACCATCACAATTAGGATCCAGAGGATGCAATAATGCCCTTTTGGCATTACAGCTGTGGTTGCATATTTAGTATCTGGTGGTTTAGTGGGTTACATGGTCTTGAAATGAACTTGGCCACTGTGACTTCTGTGTATACTTTTCAAGTGCTACCTATTCACTTTTGGAAAGGAAGCTACATGTGTTTCTGCAACTTTTAATTATCACAGCTGTGTCAAAGAAGCTGTAATTGCCAATGCCCATACAACATAGACAGATGTGCTATTTATCTAGGCAAAGACTGCACTGTAGCTTTTCAACACAAGGGTGAGAACCTCATTGTTTAAAAAAGATAGCATTGAAGTTCTAACTAGTTATGCTGGGTCATATGAATGTTCTTACAATGATGTAAACCATTTATTAAAAAGATAAAATTTACATTGAATACACTGGCTCAATGAAAATTACATTACATTGCTATTTAAGGATCCCACTATGAAAAAGAATACAAATATTTCCACTAAAAGCTACGAGATTTTGTGAATGTTGAGAAAATCTCTAGCTCAAAAACCAGTTAAAATAATCCAGTAACTTGTGATTCAATTCTGTTTCAATGTTCATTCAACCTTCACCAAAAGACCCTCTGGATTTCACAAAAATAAGTATGAAAAGCAAAGGTGTGGTAACATACTTGAATTCACCATATATAGGCTGTATCTCCATTGGAATGCTTGAGGAGTCTGCAGTTCCAAAAACTGTTGTGTGTGTACTCATAAATCCATTATACAATTGCTTTGAAGCAATTTGCTGTAAGAATGTTTCTTACTCTAACATTTTTAAGCATCAGGGTTTCTCCTGTTTCCGTATTTGTCTATTTGCAGCTGCAGGGCTGCAGTGAACTTTTTAAAGTCTTCAATCCACCAAATATTTTACTGACAAATAATCAGTCTGTTTTGTTAGTAATATTGTATGTGACTAATTTTCTGCTCTCCAGACCTGATGAAAATGCATGCTGATCCTAGGACACAGAGAAATAATACTGGACATCCAGTAACAAGCATAAAAGAATGCATTTTTTCAACTTCTAAGGACAATTATGCTTTGGGTTTGTTTGTTGTTTTTTTGGGTGGGTTGTTGAGTTTGGTATTTTTTTTTATAATATTGGTTGGTTATTTGAAAGCTTCAAGAAGCAAAAAAGCATGGATGCAGAGAACAAGTGATGAAAGACACACTGGTTATATTTCTCTTTACACCCCTCCACTTGCATTGTCTGTCCTTCCAGTAGCCCAATAAGTCTTGGAAAGGCGATTGCATTGCTGATTAGCTGTGCTGCCCAGGTGGCCCAGTTTTGCACACTGGCATCATGGAACTCTGCGTAATGCTATCTCACAGCATCCAACCTTACAGTTCCCGTTCCTTTTCTTCGCTGGCAAAACTCTCATTGCCATCATAAACTGCATTGCAGCAAGGACTACACAATTTTGATTTACTTAATTTTCTCCTTACTTAGATAAAATAAAAGCACCTTCCTGCTGTCAGGCATTCTAATTTACTTTCCCCCCTCCAAAAGAAATAGTTCAAACAATATAGTTAATTAATTATTAAAGGCAAACCTCCAACATGCATCAGCCTTAGTCCTCCAGTGTTGGTCCAAGACATCAGGGTAGTGAACTGGGCATAAAATCAGTCAAAATAAACCTATTTCAGATATGACTAAAAAGGTTCAGCCACCTGTATACAGAATATCTCCTATTAATGTATAAGTAGACACATCACCTTCCAGTGCATTTTGGCAGATTACTACTGCAATAGAGTACAAAGTTAGCAGTGGTAGAGTATTAAAAATAGTTCTGCTTTGCAGTAGGCTTGCTGTAACAACACCTGTAGGACACTCAGTGTCTAAACACGTAGTATTTCACACACTACCTGGAATCTTACTGTGATAGCTCAGGAGGGGGTGCTCCAGCACTGAATTTTACACTGCAGTGCCTAACTTCCAGAAGATGCTCTTCCTACATCAGCTGTTACACTTACACTTTCTGAAATTCCAGAACTGATTCTGGCTTAAATATTTTTGTTTCTACACTGTAATCACCTCAACAATCCTTCAGGGGCTTGAAGCTTTCTTGGAAGTTTCTCTCTTGGGTCACACAACTAGCCTGTGTTCTCAGCAATAAGGATAATTGCTTTCAAAACAATGTACTGTTACAGCAAACCCACGACTGTGATCTGGAAATTTCTGGTAAATGATGCACAGAATCATGTTTAAAAAGGAGGATTTCTGGCTTGATTTGAAGTGTTGTGCTGGAAAGTGTGTCTTTTTCAGTGATCCAAAAGCAAAAACACTATGAGCTTTCTGAAAAGCTTGTGTTACAGGTTATAACTTCAGAGTAGTAAAGTTAAGTTTCAGTACAAGCACTAAATCAGAGTCATGCCTAAGCACTCATCTAACAGGAGGGCCTCATTGCAAACTACTTTCATTCCTCTAACATTGCAACCACTACAGTTATTAATTCTTCATGATTTACATATCTGGTCTTCCAATGTATCTATAATACTTCAATTCATAGTTCATGGTATACAAGTTCACACTTTCATAATACTAAAGGGAAAGAGGAGACTGAAACATAAAGAGTACTCACTCTGTCCCCAAACCCAAAACTCCTTCTCCACCCACTGTCACAGCTTCCAAGTAGCTAAGCAGCAAGCAGCAGCAAGTTTACATGGTATAAATAATCATCATATCCAGAGATGTTTGATCACTTATGTCAGGCATTTTATATCTCAAAGGTCTGCCTACAAGTTGAGATGAATCAACAGTGGAATCAGCAGGCCCCTCACCTCTTTATAACAGGAGACAGATCAGGAATGAGGCTTGACTACTTTTACGTGGCTCTTGAAAGTTATGATCTGGAAGGCTGACACAGCTTCTAAAATAATAATTCTTGCCTTTATGGTCTTCATGGATCTCTACTTGTCTCTCTTGATTACTCCCTCCATTTGCAGTTATAAGATGCTGTTGGAATAGTTACAGATCTGACAGAAGAAAGTTATTTTAAATAGTAGGATTTACATGTTTTATTACCACCTACTGAATTACAATGGTTCTTACAACTCTAAATAATTTCCCAAGGTAAAAAATATAAAAAAAGAATGTGATTTACTAGAATTAATTAACTTATGCCATACTTGGCTACCATTTTTCATCTAGCCATAAAAGCACCACAAATGCCCATTTCTAACACATTCAGTGCAATGCAATGATCCAGGTCTAATACTTTCTTCATCAAAAGATTCTGAAGTACACTTCCAGTTAATTCAGTATTGACACACTTTGACTGAACAGAGTAGAGTACTCCAAGTTCTGATATAAAATTAGTAGACTGAAGAACAGAGTATTACAGTGACTTACTGTTTGTCCCACACTATCTGAGAAATGGCCCTATAAAGAGGCCTCTAGCTCCCCCAGTCTCAAACCGTAATATATAGCTGTCATCTATCCATCCTTTTTGGAACCAAACATAACAACACAAATGTATCACAATATTGAGGATCTCAGTGAATTATTTCCTCACCAATACAAATTTGGATAATAAATCAAAACATTTGCATTTACAATTACCATAACTGTATCTTATGTAGAGGCTAGCCCTGCTCCTCTGTAATGTACAATTTTGAACCATTGCAAAGTTATCTGAATGTGTTTCTCAGATCTGTTTTTCCCTGCTTTCACAGAGAGGAAGAGTATGCACTTCTCAAGACCACAGATGGGGTGACTAAATCACCTGTGGTGACTAAATCAGTGGGAGCTAAGCCAGCCATGAGTCTCATTACAGATACGACCAACCTCAAAAATCATGAGATCAGATCACTAGTGATCAGTAACAGGCAAGTTAGTCTGTTGAGCAGCACATCTCAAACTTTTGCTCCCTAATCATTGCTATTTAGACTCTTACAAATTATACAAAGCAATTGAGAAGTTTAGGCATTGAGAAGTAAATTTTAGTATGAAATCATCCATGGCAATAAATTGATAGGTAGTGTCAGAAGCTCTGCTCAAACTCCTGATTTGACATAGTCTTTGACATAGTCTTCTATATAGTCCTATTTACTAATTTACTGTTTGCAAGTGAAACATCCTCTCTGATGAAACTTCAGTAGTTTCTTATTCAAAGAAAATCCCCTCCTCGGAGATGGGATTCAGAAGGCTCTTCTGTAACTAAACAGTGATGATATATTGGTAATATGTATGACACTTAATCCCTTATCACCTCTCCTGCAACAGTCTTGTCAGTATCAACAGAAGTACTTGACTCTGGAGCAGATAAAGCCTATTAGAGAAGAAAAAAAAAAAAAAAAAAAAAAAAAAAAAAAAAAAAAAAAAAGTACAGGCATGTGTTGTATCTCGTCTAAATTTAGTGGAAGTGAATTTGACACCATTAGAACATTGGGACACTGTTTATTTATTAAAAGAACAATGTACTAGTATTTCATGTTTTTATGTGTATCATTTTCGTAGTTGCTTCATTAATGCAAAAACAGACTCTACCAACATAGCACAAATTTGGTTAGCTGTAAATTAAACTTAGAATACCTACATTATTAACAGAAATATCAAACTTTGAGAAGGAAAATAGTATTTTTTGCCGCTGTGGTGCTTAGGTTCCTCATGTATACCTGAATCCAGACTGTGATGGGTGTGATATGTGTGTAACAAATTAGACACAGGTATCAGTCGGGAAAATACTAGAAAGGACCTACTGACAGGCTACATAAACTGTGAATGTTAAATTCCTATCTTGATCTATCTGGGCCAAATCAGTCATTCCTTTGTGATTATTATGTAAATGACGGCTTTTCAAAGTAGCAATTTCTAAATGGCCCATGATTTACTCACCAGTGCAGCAGCAGTTCTAAATCTTTGCACTAAGAAAAGAACAGAGCAATGATTTCTAAGAAAGCCAGTTAACTGTGAGCCTCATTAAGGCTATCAAGAACTGCACGAAAGAGAGATGAAATTAACTCTTTTACCATTGCTGACAAGCCTCTCAGGCCAAAAAAGACACACATAGCCTTTTCAATGGAAGAAGAATTATTCCATTAGCTACTATGATAGAATACACTACGTACACCAAAAATTTCTGATCTCACATCAAATTTGGCACTAGATGAACATAAAAAATGTAACAAATTTTAAAAAAAAGCATAACCTAAAACTTTCCAGAATAGTACAAATAGCTAAAATCTAATTTTTGCTGTCCATGTTCTCCTATATTAAGCTTGACAATCTTAAAACTGACTTGTCATGACAAAAAAAAAAATTTTTCTTTCTTGGATAGTAAGAGTTCACATGTTCAGAAAACAAGCTGAAGTTGGTAGATACTCAACTGTAGTGTTTACTTAAACAATACAGAATTGAAGTGTTAATTCCTGCATCTCCTCAAACTAGAGGGCAAGTATCTGCCTCCACATATTGAGCAGTTTATGACGCTGTATTACATTCAAGACAATACTAAAGAAACCTTTGTGCTAATGTGCTCACATCTTGCAATAGGACTTACTTACAAATGAGGCAGTCTTGAATTAAAATGTGTGGTTCTCTTACATTAAAAAAATCCTTTTGTACAGTGCTTTTAGTTTTCAATATAATTTTAATTACACTTTTCAACATATAAAAATAAAGCTAAACTACAAGCTGAAAACTTCTGCTTATGTATTAGCAAACAAAATTAAATTTCAAGTTCTCTTTAGGCTCTAGCACTAAATGGTATCTACATATATTCAATTCTCCACACTCCAGTCTCTGGTGAAAAAACCACATCTCTCTGAACTGTCTAATGATTGACATGATTTTAGCCATCTACAGATTTCATAATTCATGCCACAAAGTCAAATTTTCACTTTCAAAATTATGATAACATCAAAGGTGATATCTGATTACTATAAAATGGAAAATACCAAGCAACATATGTCCCAGGTAATGATTCAGAATTCACATCTTTAAGACTGTTTTACCACTCAAATGCTATTAGCATACTAACATTTACAAAATCCAAGATTATTTTGTCTGGATTTTTTTTTTCTCTAACAATACATGAGCTCTGATCTTCTTTCACTACAAAAGAGATGCAGAGATGCTTCAGACCTAGAAGTAGACAATACACATACCATTATGGCATTACTTTTTGCAAAGGTCATACTCAACAATGAAAAATAATTAAATAAGGACTGACAATACAAATACAATAATTTATAACATACATAGCAGGATTTACTTATTATCTCTTCCTTAGAACAAATAAACAAAAAAAAAAAAAAATCACTTACTTCCCTAAACTAGTTAAGATTAAAAGATAGCAGTAGAAGCTAAGGGCAAAAGAGAGAAGCTACTATGTAACAGATCTGAAGAGTTTCAACATAATTTCAGGTATTTGCCTTAAATATAACTGGGCCAGGGAACAGTAGCATGCAATGGAAAGCGTGCTCCTATGAATTCTGGCAGCATAAACTGCACTGAAGTGTCCACAGCTCATTTCAGAATCCAAGCTGTGCATAGGTTGTTGTCAACCTGCTAACATAACGCTAGTTCAGATATTATCTATCAATCTGAAACTGCCATAAATAAAATTAGCAGGTGGTTACCTAACACAAACCCACATCTCATCCATTTCCCAAGTATTCCTCAAGTATTTCTAGTTTCTAACCAAGTCCTTTTATAATCCCTAATCCCCAATTTCAACATATGAAAACTAAAAATTCTTTACAAACCATACTACTATTGGAGTTTGCAAACAAAATTCCATGCCTCACACCTGTGTAAATCCACTGACTTTGATGAAGTCATCTAAGCCACAGCCACCTCTATTTTGAGCTTGACATCCTCTTTGATCTACCAAATCATCTTCTGTTACCTCCTTTTTTTCAGAATGCAATCCAGAACCCTCTTGGGAAACAGCTATAGGCACTAATGGATACTATGCTTATGTGCTTTGTGTGATCTTCGCAAAACGGCAATGTTTAATTACTCAGCAGTTTACACTTCAAGTAAAAACTGATTCAGATGAATCATGTAAAACAACACAGCTACCATGAACCACACTTCTGAAAACCTCTACCCAAGTTAATCCCATTTACAAAGTGCAAAACCAGATGATCTGACACAGCATCTCAGCATACAAGCTTGTAATTATGAAGGTCAATGGACTTCCCATGGAAGATGGACACATTCAGTGGATGACACACTCAGTCCTGTAGGAGCAGGCTGGCACTTCATTACTGTGCTATGTTACCAGTTTGTAAGCAAGCTACCCTCTGCAGAGATAAGCATTTTCTAAACTAATAGCTCTCCAGGGGTGGCTTTTTAGGAACACTTGGTAAGATGGACAGATCATACCTACATCACAGTTCTGCACAGTATTTACAAAACAAAACCAGAAAATATAGTATTTGCAAGAAAATATGACTTGAGGAGGGAAAGAAATGTGTTTGGTGGCTGGTTGCTTTGGTGTTTTTTTCTTCCTTAACAAAAAAACCAACCAACAAAACCAACTGAACAAAAACCCCAAGACACTTTTTTAAAGGGAATCATAATTAATATACAATAGACCAATGTGCTGCATATAGCCTCACAGAGATGATAAGCTAGTAAGTTAAGGTACGTTTCTCAGCTAAGTGTACACAATCCTTCACATATTTTATAACTGATACATCATAGAATTATGCTATTTCAAGGTAACAAAACTCAAGAAACTAAACTAATACAAGCTAAAACATGATACACTGAAAGAATGCTAGTTCTTCCCAACAGAAAAATTTAGCTTTTCAAAGAAAACATAGATAATACATACATGTTTTCACTAATATCCACATTTAAAATAAAAGAAGCTCTATGAGTAAATCCAGATGGTCTAAAAATATTCCTTTAATAAGTATGTACCAGCAGAAACATCCCTCTAAAATACTTACTTTATTAGTGAAATGGTACCAAAGATAACAAGTATACAAACAATCTCTTTGCTCTATGCTACTTACACATCATAAATAAGACAGCTGTTGTTGCAAGACACAATCTTTCACAGTCTTCCTGTAAGCATACAGATTTTTTATTCTTTTATCAGAATTAGCTGTTTACCAGCCAACAGCATGTGGCTTAAACATCACAAAAATGGCTGTTCTATACTTTACATGGTAAAGCATTTTCTGATGTCTTAAATGTACACAGTGGCAAGAACATTAAATCTTATAGAAAATGAGGAGTGATTAAGCAACTTCACCATCAAATTGGATTTCATTACCTTAGGAACTGGGCAAAGTTTTCATCCCCTGTAATATGCTTCCCTTCCACTAAAAAAACTTAACTATGTGGAGGAAAAGTAAAACAAGTAGAAAGCAAACAGCCAATACACTTAGTTTTTTATTTTAACTGAAAGAAATAACACTTCCCATGAGGTAAGGCAATTAATAATTTGATTGCATTAAGATGCAGTAAAAATAATCTACGCAATTTTAACTATAATTATGTCTTAAAAGCATAACTTACCAGAAATCTCACATAACCGATTAAATTACTTCCAAGAAAAAAAGCCATGTTTTGCCATGACAAAACCACCTGTTTTGTCATTCTCTTCTTGCATGCTTTCTCTACAAAATATGATAAAAGAATCTCTACTATGAAAGCCCGGCATAAATTAGAACTTTCTTCCTCAAATTATTTATCCCCTATTTCTTTGCATGTCAGTCCTTTTATATTGCCCAACAGGTATTAGAGAAAATAACAGAGAGGTAACAATTAAGGCCATCCAAATGTATATTAAATGTCTTAAGGGTTTTCTTTGATGCAGGTGATGAGAGCACACTTTGTATTCAGCTACTACTTTTGTACAGTGGTGGTCCCCAAATTACATCTTTTCTCTTATTTATAAATCTCTTCTAAGAATAAAAAATAAAAGTAAAATGGAGCATCACTATTTTAACAAGTGAATCAAACAACCATTCTGGCAAGTCACTTGCATTTTTGTCTACAGTATGGTGGTGGCAAAGTAGCAAGAGATCATAGAAGATTTAGCTAAAAATGTGTAACAGCACATATACATTTCTAGAAAATACCACATTTTAAGAAGGCACTAAAGCTTCTGCTTGTGCTCCCATATCTTTTTAACAAAAAGGAAAAATTTATTTTCTTAATGGCACCTGTACTATTCTCAGCTGAACAGACACACTGCAGTACATTGCAAAACAAAGCTGTAAGTTCTGGTATCACCACATAGATGTGCTCACTTCTCTATGAAAACAACAAAGCAAAACAACCCCAAAATAACCCTGTAAGCTAACCTAATATCTATAACATGGCAATGTTCCTTTTAGGAACAGAAAAAGCACATGCATTGTTCAAATACTTTATAAGAAATATTAATTTCAGGGAGATTAGTAAGAAATTATTTTAAATAATAAATCCTAATAATCTCAAGCAGTGAGCAAATGAAAAACATACTAATCTGTGAGTATTTAACATAAGAACACTAAAACCATGTTTATGCTTAAATCCCCTTTCCCTACAGTTGTCATTTACAAGGAAAGAAAGTGTGTATATTTATGCACCATTTTCAAGCACATCAAACAGCACACATTAAAGTTTTTGTGGATTTTTTAACCTACAGGGCAAAACAATACAAAAGTCATCAACAAGCAGTATTTTAAACAACCTTCAATGCATATCTTCAGCTTTTTTTGGGAAGTACAGGTTTACATCTTTCAGTTTCTAGTTATTTGTAACAGCTTATAGCAAAACTGAACATAAATCATTTTACAAGTACAGCCATCATGGAAATGCATGGATTTTCAGAGATGAATACTTCTGATGGCATCTGCCTTTTCATGGTATTAACTACTGGTCTGTGCTCTCTTGCTTCATAGCAAGAAGACAACAAAGCTATCACATGAACTGGAGGAGCTACTAGTACTATCAACACATTCAGGTTGATTGTTTTGACATTTTCTTCCTTATTCTGGGAAACAAAATGCTTTGGATTTCATTCCTTAGTTGAATTAGAAGTCCATTCCTTGTTTTATACCTCTTCCATTTTAACTGAGAGATTTTCCTCATTTGGTTGACAATTCCCATTCTGTTGTAGCTTGACTTCATCTGTCCTTTGTGTATCTCTATTGTCTACTTCCTTGTCAGTTTCTGAATTCTGATCTTCTTTATTGTTATCTTTGTCCTACCAAAGATAAAATTATTTGACAACAAAATAATATTCTTAGCATTACAGGCTATGACTTCCAACCAACTCCCAGTAATTTTACTGTTTCAATTTTTACATGCACATTTTGTGTCTGCAAATTTTAGAATAGAGGTGTGAGCTTCTTTGCCCCTACACCTTTTTTTAAAATATGATTTTCAGCTGGCTGAAGTTCATCACTTGTAACAACCCATCACCCAAGAAATTACGCCATAGAATCATCTGTCTCTATTAACTAAAATAAACTCATATATAAAGTTATAGAACAAGCAGCACCATAGAACGTTTGAGAAGCAGCTCCAGAAACGAAAATTTCACTAACATTTTTAAAACAGAACAGGACTAAATTTTTTCTCATTCTTTGTCAGGTATCTGATGCATTTTTAGAGTTCTTGAGTAAGGTACTTCCTCAAGCATTTGAACAGTCACCCAAACCAGCTGTTTTGTAACAGCTGAGTAATTCTGAGCACAACTAACTACTCTTTAAAGGTGTGCTGCTATTCAAATTCTAAGATTAAACAATTTGAAGATATTTCTTTTCTTAATTGCAGTACTTTCTATTCTGCAGGAGAAAATCCTATACCACTCTTTCACAACTCTTCAACTTTACCCTTACAAAATCCAATATATAGATCAGGACCAATTCTATGAGAGTTTGAACTGTATAGTGAGAGTTTATTTTAAAAGTCATCTTTTCAGTTTCACAATCAAACCACCCCTGAATACTGCTTGCTAGTCAATAGTCTGCCTGCTCCTAAAAGTAGGAAGCCAGGCAAGACCTCACAGAAGGCACAAACAAGAAAGAGAAACAAGGTCTTTCTGTAACTTAAGCACACAAACTCTTATAGTTCAACCGAAGATCAAATATCTAGACTTAAACTGGCCTACTAACCCCAACTAGCAAATACTGAACTCAAGCAGCACTAGTTTGGTAAGGAATAGGAGAAATAGAAGAAAGGAGGAAAACAAAGTAAAAAGTACAGAGAGAATTTCAGTGATGGCTTCACTACCACTTTATTCTGCTGATCACTTGGTCACACAAGCTTACCTTCAAAGTAGTGGTGCTTTTGTCAGATTTCTCCTTTCCTTCTTTTTCTTTACTACTTTTTTTCTTTGAAGTCGAGCGTTCTCTTTCTCTTCTTTCATTATTTGTATCTCTTTCTCTCTTTTTTTCTTTCTTGTTTCTGTTTCAGAAATTTTTTTTTCAAATTAGGATTTGATCCAACTACAACAAACTTCAAACCATTTGACTGCAAACTAAACATCCAGCATGGATTTGCAAAAACCCTCCCAAAATTTAACCAAAAATCCCTTTGCAAAGACGATGGCATTTTTTTGGCTGAAGAGATATAAATAGTTCATATGCCCACCACATACTGTATTTGCAAAGAAAAAAAGCAATATAATCTGTAACAGATGAAGGGATTTAATTGATTTGAAGCAATTTGCAATGCTGATTGACTTGAAACTATGCCACTGATAGATCACCAGAGCTCATATTGGTTAAAGTTCTGAGTTAGTTTTAAATTAAAACTGAATCATACTGACCAACTGAAATCATCTGAAATCACTAGTGCAAAGGCAGTAAACAGTGAAATAACAATAAATTCTTCCTTCTTTACTGACCATTAACTTCTCTGTTTATATCAAACTGACCTTCTTGGAGAAGGAGTTCGTGAAGACTTTCTTTTTGCCGTTTTTGATGTTTTAGGAGATTTGGAGGGACTTCTGCTCTTCCTTTTACGCCTTTCTCTATGGGACCAAGTAATTCAGTATCATCAAAACCCAAAAATAATAAACTCAAAGGAGATAAAAAGAGAAAGCTCTTCCAATGATCTAAACATATTCACTGAATTTAGCAGTGTATATTACCAACAAAATATGAACTGTACAAACAAAAAAAAACTTTGTATGCTTCAGTTTAGTGGCAAAGGCAAGGCCGATGTAGGAAAAAAAATGTGCCTTTTCAAAATTTTTTAAAAAAACCTTATATGCTTGACAACAATGAAAACACATTGAAGTTGGTAATACGTATCAGTTAAGAATTTTTTCAGTCAGGAAAATAACTCAATTGAATGAGGAGCCATACTAAGACAAAGGTATAACTTGAGCAATATGAATTTCAAAATGTAACACTGCAACCTGAAAATCACTGCAACTTCAGTTTAACCTGACTGAAATTTACTTCATAAATATATGAGCTAGAATTAGTTGGCTTAAAAGAAAACAGTGCAAAATGAAGCCCAAGCTGTTGTCAAAGTCAGAATAAATAAAATCTATTGTTTCTCTAGTGGCCCTTGCATAGCAAACAGAATGTCATCATTCTGTAACACATGGAAGAGCTTGAAGTGTTTTACAAAGAAACTGTTATACATAGCTAAATAGAATTTCCTGAAGTTGCCATTATGGAGTCTGATCTTGAATAGAGTAAAACATAAAATAACCAGTCATTTATACTGAGGGACATGTTAAATTAAAGCAAAAACTGAGTCAGTACAACTTAATTTAACATAAATGCAGAAGCCATCTATCAAAATAAGATTACTTTTTCCCTATCAACCCTCTGTAAAGCAGGAAAAGCTTACTGGAAGAACAATTGAAGAAAAAGAGGGATGTTTAAAACTTACTTCTAGATACAGCACAAAAGCTACATTTATTTTTATACAAAACAGCTTTTGCAATTTGTGACTGTTTAAATCTTCAATATTTAGAAAAGTCAAGAAATCACTTATTAGGTAAGTAACAAAAGGACACTTACGTTGTAGGCAGTATCATTATATGGATTCATACTCTGACCTATCAGAGTACCAATGCGTAGTGATAACTCCATATACCATCTACTCTGACTGTCCTGATAATTTTCTTTCTAGTAACTAGAACAGCGCTGTGTTTTGGATTCATTATGAGAATGATGTTGATAATACACTGATGTTTTAGTTGTTACTTATCCTACAATAAAGGACATTTTGTTTCCCATGCTCTGCCAGCAAGCAGGTACACAAGACACTGTGAGGGAGCATGACCAAGAGAAATGACTCAGCCAAAAGTCAGTAAGAGGTGAATGACTGTGTAGTGCATAATTTTCTCTTGGGCTTAATCCCTCTCTGTCCTTTCCACTACAATTATTACTGTTACTATAATTATTTAATTTTGTTTCAATTACTAATGTGTTCTTTCTTGAACTCTCAAAACAGAGCCTGGCAGAGCATGACAAGGATGAACAAGGAAGGGACTGGTGAGGAAACAAAAAAAGTCAAAAAAGAACTGTCATGGTTTAACCTCAGATGACAACTAAATCCTGAGTGGCATTTGCTTATTCTCAGCCATATTTTGCCCCCTTTGCCTAACAACTTCCATAGTCCCACCCCACCAGGGGAGGAGAATAAGCAGGAAAACAAGGAAAACTCCAGCAATGTACTAGTTGCTAGTAAGAAATTTAATGCTGTTTCAGTCAAAACCAATACAGTGGCAGTGACCTCCTGAAGCTGCACAGGGCAAGATTTCTAAAGTATTTCGTTCAGCAAGCTTTGATTTATCTTTGATAAACTAAAAATACAAAATAGCCCCAAATTCGTGTAGTAAATATCAGCCACTAATCAGCTGTTCACTAGTTAACATACATTTTGAACACCTCCACATTGACCATCACCTTTATTTAATTAAGGATATTGGAAATTGATTATTCTCTCTCAGTGCTGTCACTTCAGCTACACTGAATACATTCTCACTTAATTCTGCTTTCCAGTATATGTACCTGCAAATCAAGTGCTTCAGCAATTGTGTTAAAACTAAAGACTGCTTATTAATTTCAGTTTCTGCTTTTCTTATTTCAAGCTGAAGGAAATATAACTACATCTCACTGCATCTCTTCTCATCTCTATTACATTTGTACATTAGATTTTTGTGCTCCCATTTCATTAAATGTCTAACACAATATTAACAGCAAAATTTAAGAAAAACAAGTTCTGAATACTTTGATAGTGATGTCTCTTAATTATACACAGAAATAACATTCTGTAGGCCATCTGGTGTGATTGGCTCTGCTAGCCTGTAAGATAGCTCCTTTTCCAACTGATTTCACTTCCCCATGTCTGTCTCTTTCTTCAGCTAGGAATCACAAATAATCACCTTATTTCCAGTACCTGTGAGCAAAGCAAGTCAGCAAAGCAAGGTTAACTGACATCTAGTTCTTAGAAGGTCCTGTATGTCCTATTCCACCTTCTCCTCTTCTCCAAAAAGATGACTATTTGCCCAATATTTTATGTTTACACTTATACTTCACATTTTACATGATCACCAGTCAACTACTGTACTGAAATTCAGGCCATTTAAATACCTATCTGTTGAACAAACCTCACTGGAAAGGTCTGCAACCATTTCAGCTATGCACTGTCCATCACTAAAGAAAGACCCCTAATGTATAGAACTACTTTTCAGAGACCAGTGATGTTACTGAGGTTGGAAGAACCCTCTGAAGATCACTTAGTCCAACCTATCCCTTCCCCACCTTACAAGAGGGTCAATTAGAGTACGTTATTCAGGGCCATATCCAGTCAGATTTTTGGCTGGAAGAGACAATCCCTTGAGGTAACTGTTTCCAGTCTGCCAAGCAAAACCACAATTTTGACACTAGGGAAAAAAACCCTTTATTTACCAGAGGTCAATATGTGCCTGTCGCCTCTTAGTTGTCACAGGCCTCCACTGGCTCTGTCTTCTTCGTGCTCTTATCAGATATTCATACATATTGATAAGATGCACCTCAGCCTTCTCTTTTCCAGGCTAAACAATCCCAGATTCCTCAGTATTCCCTCGCATGAAGGAAGCTCCAAGTCCTTTATCAGCTTCACGGTCCTCCACTGGACCCACTCCAGTACATCTACATGCCTCTAGTAATGCGAAGCCCAGAACAGGATTCTAAATGTGTCCTCACCAGAAGAGGGAAAGAATTACCCTTCTTGACCTACTCACAACATTGCTGGCTTCCTTGGCTGCAAGGACCTGGAAGCCAGCAAGTCCCCATGCTATACTGGTGCAATGGCATTATTCCTGCCCAGGTATAGGACTTGTCCTTTCTCTTTGTTCAAGTCCATGAGATGACTATCAGTTCATTTCTCCCATCTGCTAAGGTTTCTCTAATGGCAGATCACTCTCCTCCCACAGCTGTTTTTGCAAAGCTATGGAGGATTCACTCTGTCTCACTGTCTGAGACCCTGATAATAACATTCACCAGTATCGGCCTCTGCACTGATGCTCTAAGGATAGTTATATCTGGAAAAAAAAATGGAAATCCATAATAAAAAGTCTATTTTCTTATCTTCCAGCTTCAAAAGAACACTACCCGTGTTTAACAATATCTGTATTATACTGAAGTATCCTTTGGACTTTGACCGCACTAGAAGAAATGCACTAATTTTCACAATAATTCCTTGCTCGAGTACATGACATTGGAGCCTTCCTACAGCACTTTCTTAACTAGTAAGATTCATAAGGGGGGACAAAATTATTGCAAACTAAAGTATGAATTTTTGCTAACACCCATTTAACTACACTTGCGGTTTGACACTAGGAGCCTGGTTTTCCACCAAGGTTCCTATATAAGATACATATTGTGAAACCCTTACATTTTTTAATGCACTTATACAACTCAAAACTCTGAGGCCTGAGGACTGAAAAATAATGGTTTCAAAGATGACAGAAGTATCTCTACGTGGGTTTTCCAGTCATTTAAATAGGAAGCTGCATACGCTTAACGAAGAAACAATATTTTGCCCATAAACCTCATAACACCGACACAACGTTCAGAAACTGTTACACCCTTTTTTGCCTTCTATGAACCCTGAACTGATGAATTTTGAGGACTAGAGAAGTTCTGCTTTTGTCTCGTGAAACTATTACAATAGGTAGAACTTCTCCAATTCGTTCAGCATTTCATTATCTCGAGATTACGATATAATTAAATCTGATACAATACTACTGAACTCCCTAATTCCTGATGTAACAGAAAGGACCTTATCCACCAATGCTTCTAAACTTAACTTAGATGCAATGCTTTTAGAATATGCCTGAGCTTGCTTACAGAGATTGTTTATCATCTCACAGCCTCTTTCTGCTGTAACGAATTCATTTAGACTTCCTGCCAGTTAAGCCTCCCTCAGAGCCAAAACCAACAGCCTTATTAACTTTGTCTTCCTGCTTACTGTCAGCAGTGTTTAGGAATGTTACTTTTAATTTACACCTGGCCATCAGATAAACAGTATATCTGTCTCTTCCAACTGAGATACATTTACCTCATGAAAGGCTAGGCAGCCAACCTGTATGCTTGCTTCCTGCAGTTCTGTCATCCAGCCAAAGAGAAGCAAGTATTAGGAAACAACTGTTTGCAAGATCTATACACCAAAATGCTGCAGTATGTAAGCAATGAAAGAACTATGTAACAGTGACTCAAACTTTGATCAGGGCAAAGATAATATGTGTGATGTTGATCAGAACTTCTGGCTGTCTGTAACATATAGAACTGGCACAAGAATCATCTCATTACTATCCTCAAGGTTTATACAATATGCTTATGCGAAAGTCAAGCACCAGCAGCCCAACAAGAAACTGCTATATGAGGCACCATATAGAGCTTTTTATAATAGATGTTACTTTAAGGAAAAATCTACAAAGCAGAAATAATACAATTTTATTTAGTAAGAGCTATGGTGACATCAATACATAAAAATTAGAATGGTGCCTTACTGATCTGATAAGTCAAAACAGAAAAAAAAAAAAGCATGAAAAATTCTAAACAAACCTGCTCGAGCTACGAGATCTTCTTGAAGAGCTATAGCTTCTTGGGGGTGTTCGGGATCTCTTATCTTTCTTCTTTTTATCATCTCTCTCTTTTTCTCGCTCCTTCTCCCTATCCCCATCTTTTTCCTTTTCTTTATCTCTGTCCTTTTCTTTCTCCCCTCCTTTGTCCTTATCTCCCTCCTTGTCTTTAATCTTCTCTCTATCCTTCTCTCCTTCTTTCTCAGTATCTTCTTTTTCTTTGTTCTGATCTACCTCTTCCTTGTCTTTTTCCTTATCTTTATCTTTTTCCTTTTCCTTCTCCCTATCTTTATCCTTGTCCCTGTCTTTGTCTCGGGCTCTCTCTCTGTCTTTGCTTCGCTCTTTATCTCTCTCCTTGTCCTTCTCCCTATTTCTCTCTTTATCTCGCTCTCTTTCCCTGTCTTTGCCTCGATCTCTATCCTTCTCTTTGTCTCGGTCTCTGTCTTTCTCTTTTTCTTTGGCCTTTTCTTTTTCCTTGATCTTTTCTTTGTCTCTTTTCTTGTCCCTGTGAAAAGCCAAACACAAACCCATTAATTCACCCTTGAACTTTCCAATTAAAATTACAACTAACTTTTTCATATACATCAAGATAATCCATCTCTGTTGAAAAATAGTAATTCTTCAATATTTTAATTTTTCACTCCTGTTCACAATAAGAGAAAGCTACACATAGTTAGGAAATAAACAGCTATATACAGCTAGTAAAAATTTGGAAACCCAGCTGGAGAAGGGGAGACCAAAACCAAATCAAACCACTATCTTCCAAGTAACACTACTATGTTTGGAGAGAAACTGTTTTTTCACCTAACAGTTATATAATTATACATACATACATTTTCTATATTTTGTCAGGAGTGAGACAAACTCTATAATCAGTAAATCCACTCTTTACTAAAAATGTATCCACATAAAATGACCTTCAGATTAATCACCGCCAAAGGAATAATGACAGCTGACTGACAGAAGTCTTTATATTCTACAGTTTCCTCTCACACAAACATCCTTGAACTGTTTGGCAGTCCAACACCTAATACATAGAAATAAAACATGGATAAAATGTCACTGGATTCCCTTAAAAGGCAAATATAAGATCAAAACTTAATCAAAACAATTCAACCATCCATAATGTCACTAGGAATTTGAGAATTACGGAAAAATGCTAATGCAGTAAAAACAGAAGAAAGGAAAATAGATTCTTTGGGACATGAATTATGATACATGTTTGTAAAAAGAACAGTGAGGAAAATTCCATCTGATGTTCAAGTTATCAAGTCAAACAAAAACTAATTAGGTAACAACTTTGGTTGGAAGATTATATTTTAGTATAGGACTATTTGAAAATGCAAGACTCCATCTCTTCCCTCTAGTACAGAGACACATAATGAAAGAACAATCGTTCAGAGAAACAGGAGAAAGAGTAGAGGAAAAATTGATTAGCAGGCCTTATTGTGTCAAGAAGAACCAGACTGACTGAAGTTACTTGGTATTGGTATGAAAGGTCCTAAGCACTCAAACTTTCCTCAAACTGTGTCTGGCTGTATCTCCTTCCCAACTGCAAATAAACAGCAGATTCTTGTATGCTCTGCAGCCTGACAACTTTGATTCCCATCAGGTTCTGTCAAGAACTTATGAGAAGTCTCAAATGGAATATAACATTATAAAGATGAAACAGTGTACAGTCCCCACAATACCAGTCTTACAGATTCCCAATAAATGTCTTCTAGTTAATTTATCAGAGATTTCATTGGGCTTTCCCCTTCCAGTGTCTCAAGAAGCTCCAGAAAACAGAAACAATCAACAGCACCCACCAATAAAACCGAGCCAGCTATACAGCCTAGTTTTGTTTCCACATAGGTCCACAGATCTGCAGCTCTCTTTCCCACAGAACTTATAGAACAAGAGGCAGCTGCACAACCTAAGTACAGATCTCCCTTCAAACAAATCAGGGGAATTACAGAAATTAAACTAAGAACATACCAAGACTTCTATTCATGAAGCTATTTTCACAGCCACTTTTGGTTTGAGCTTATTCACTACTTCATCCCTAAAAAAATTATCCTAGGATCTTGTTAAAATGTCACTGTTTAGTAATTAGATGATTAGACATAAAAACTAATAAACTAGATAAAATACATACATACTACATCCTGAGACAAATATATGCCATACAACCGACACATGCATTTGCTCCTGACGAGAAAAGTCAAAGATGAAAATAAACAGTTATGCACAAGAACTTTATACATGTTCTCACAATACAGGATCAATGTCAGTCTGAATTCAATCTTCTCAGCAGACATACATCAAACAAGCACTATCCATTTTTTAGTGGGTTCACAAGTACTCAGGATATTCCTTAACTATTGGTTGTAGTCTGATAAAGCAACTCTTTTCAGTCAGTCTCGTCTACATTTGTACTAACATCCAAGCTATCAAAGTTTAGGTGCCTCATCATGTCATGTAACCCCTGGAGGCACCCTACACGCTACAAGAAAGGTAGTTAATTCTATCCTAGCCAAAACTACTAAGTATTAAAATCTACTTTGTCTTTTTGTCCCACAGATGAGATTCCACCCTTTATGATAACTTAAAAGCTTTGTTAATTTTTTTTTTCAAAAACTGTATTCTGAGCTAACAGTATCATTTTGTGGAACAGAACTCACCGAGAACGAGAGCGACTTCTTGATTTCCGTCTTTCCATAGATCTAGACCGTTTTTTCAGAGGACTTCGGGATCTGCGTCTGTCCTTGTGTCTTGAGAGAGATCTGTTGCCAGATCTACTTCTAAATGAAGAATGCCAGAAGAAAAATATTTTAATATGGAAACTTCATACAAATGATGTCAACCAATAAAATGACAGTATACATGTGTTGTGTCACTACAAAGTATTATCTGATACCTTCAAGAATGACACCTTGATAACATTCTGTCTGTAAAAGTTTTTGCAAACATAGATACTTTATGCTTCTCCATGCTCTACCTTTGAAACCATTTAAGTTATACCAGTGTTTCATAATAATCTCCATGAATCTGGAAAATAGAAGTTACTATAATTTACAACAGTTGTCAATACAAAATGACACTGCACAAAATCTGATCGGCAATTTCTAGCAGATTGTAAAATAATTAGTTCCATTTTATTTCCTTTCCAGGCTCAAGCACTTACTGAAATCTTAGTCATCAAAGAAAGAGGAGTGACTTTGGCTGCAACAATCTCTCTTTGCTCTGTTCTCCATCCTTATAATTTAAATTCAAAAAGTCAAGTTACCTTTCCAGATAAAAGGATCTGTAAGCATGGATTTCAGTTGTAATTAAAGTGTAGGTACTCTGATTTAAAAAAAAAAAAAAAGTCTTATGGAGGTTTGATGAACAGCACTTAGAAGTATTTTTTCCAAAACACTCCTTAATTTCTGGAAGACCCTTTTTCCCAGGGAAACAAAAATAAAAATCTGAATTTGCATGTTAAGTTTCAAAAAACCACATCATTGGATACTTTGCTTCCCAAGGCACCACAAAGTTTAACTTACCATAGACAGAAAGATTACATATATTACTGAATAAAACCTGAAGAACCATGAAGTACAAAAAGGCTACCTTGCATAGCTCAAGGCACACTGTTGAATGATGCCTCAAGATTTTAGCTGTTATAGTTTTCATACATTTGTAATCCTGCAATTCTTGAGTGTATAACTCCATACAGAGTATTAGCTACTGTTCTCACATTTTGATCAGACAAAACAATTCCTCTCCAGGCCTGGGAATCAAGGGCACCTTACTTTCTCAGGCCCTGAGAAATGTAAGCAAAAGTGAGTAAGGGGGAGAACAAACTTGGGATAAATTACTTCATTACCTGAAACTGTAATTGGAAGATTAACCTCCTGTATGCAAAGGAACCAAACTTACAAAAGAGTGAAAACCTGTGACCCACTGTCCACTTTGGGTGTAGTCCCCGGGGGCGGGGGGGGCTTTGTCTGCCCTAAATGTATGTGGAGGCCCTTCAATAAATATAATTGCTTTTTATTATCTTAATTCTGTCTGGCCTCTGTTTTTAGGTAGCTCAAATGGCATCCTTAAAATATACCAAGAAGAGGGGAAGCCATTTTTTACCTACAGCTTTGTTCTCCTTAGCAGCAGAGAAATACAAATCCACTGCAAGTCCAATTTATTGCAACAGAATCAAAGCACAACCTCCAATAAAGTTTATGTGACAGAGACGAAAATGATGTTATATGAAACAGTAAAACAGGGAAGCAGTAAGGATAGATTATTTTTATGGATGAAGCTGCCTCAACAGGTCAGACTGGCTTTTTTTCAGCATGTTCTCAAAACTGGCAGTAGCAATATTAAACAATTTAACGAAACTTACTAAAATATAATAATTGACATTTGTTTAAGGAATAGGTTTTCCACATTTAAAAAAAGAAATGCTTGTCTTCTAAAATTCCACTTGGTTTGTCCCAGTACAAGATAGTACTGAAATTACTGCATTGTTGAACAAAAACTAGTTTGTCTTTCATTTATGGCTTGAGTTACGGACATAGCAGAAAAGCAAGCAATTTTCTGTATTTAAAAATTTATTTTGTATTTAAAAGTATCCTAGTAGCCTTGTTTGAAGACATGAATGAAAGGATGCCTCAGAGCTGTTGCTGCAATATGGACAACACCCACCTTTCAAAAGTATAAGCAATCAAATAACATTCCAAATTGTGGGGGTTTGTTTATCCGTAGCCAAGTATCTTTAGATTGATTTGCCTACGTTCTCAAAATATACTCCTGACATCGAAAGAATCTGGACCATTTTGGGAAGCCTTATAATTCTAACAGAAAAAGTTCTGTGTTTTATTCAAAGAAAAAATTCTTAATCTTTCAGAATGATCTAATAATTTTCTGTTTCAGAACTGAACAAATTTAGCAAAGCAAACAAAACCTGAAAAATAAGAAACTGCCCCTGAAGTTTTCTCTGTATGCTTTTTAAAAACATAGCTTCATATTTACAGAACGAAATTAACTCAATGCTTAGAAGTTGAGGACAATACCAAAAACCAGCCAAAAAAACAGCCAACCTATCTGCTCAGGTGTTACCACTAAATTATATGCTTCATCCACAAAATGCAGGTTTCTCTTTGAAATACAGGTCACAAAATGTTATTTGGCTACATAGCCTAATGTACAAAACCACAAAATAATGCACAAAAAACCCACAGAACTTATTTTACATGACACTGAAGTGCCTTCTAGAATGTTTAGACTGAAAGTAATCCTATAAAAATTTAGGGTTTAGAGGAAAAGAGTATCTATTCAGAAGATAAGTTTCTGGTTATGCTGATCTTCTGGATGCAAGTTAGTAATCTCTATAGCAATTCTTGTCTATAACTAAAAATAACAGTAACCAGTACCTTGCAAAAAATCACAGTATGATCTTAGTCTGAAACAAAAAGCACACCTACCTGTGTTTTGAGTGTGATCTTTTCCTTCTAGATCGGGATTTTGAACTAGACCTGGATTCTGAACGAGAATGGGAACGAGATCGACCGCCTTTTCTTTCACTGCTCTTTCCAGACTCTGAGAGGAAAAAACCACTTTGCAGTGTAAGCTCAGAACATTTAAAGATCCCAGTTAACAATCTGGCACAAGTGGAATGTACCACATATATTGTAAGGGGCCTACTCTCTGCACATCTTCCTTCTTTGCAAATATCCTTCAGAAACATCCAAGAAAGTCATTGCATATACTCGTTGAGTGCAGCCATCCTGCAGCAGTACACATAAACCAGATAATTATAAACAGCTAGCTCTACTACGAATGGGATTTATGTTGCTGCCACAATGCACAAGATCATAACACGTCCTCCTTTTGCTCTATTTATTTAATATAATTACATTCTTATTTTTTTTAAAAACTTGAGAAGAACAGAATAAATTTAGAGGGCATAATTTTGAAAACAAGCATAATATATAAGTATTACTGTCTGTATTTTTAGATATTTCACACACTGTACAAATACTGAAGTTTTATTCCTCATTGTTTTGTAGGAGGAAAGGAAGAACAGAACAGGCTGAAAAGTCTGACCAAAGGCCAGAAAGTCAACAAAAACCTAAACAGTGAACTCACCACAGTTCAGAGTCTAATTGTTATTCTGTTGCTTAACAGTGAAAAAGTGCTAGAGTTATTTTACTACTAACCAAAAAACACAGCAGAAAATTATCCGCCCCGCCCCCTCCCCCCGCCAAAAATCCCTCAAGATTTCACACTACTAACCAACACAAGACAGTATCTGGGTTTGCTAGTAAGAAGAATGGCAAAAAGTTGCTGACGAAAAGAAGCAGGGCGTTTACAAAGTTGACATTTTTTTATGCTGTGGTTTTGCAATTAGTTTAAGCCAGTATAAACCACCACTAGAATGTCTGTCTAACCTCTCAACACAACATCACCTTCCTCCTTGAGCTGGCATCTCAGTGTTAACAGGGAACAGGGAAACAATCTGGATGAAAAGAAGTCCTTTACAATACGTTAAGATTTATCCCAGATTTATTCTCTGATCCCATTTGCTTTGAAGATGCATACAGCCTTTAGGCACCATGAAAAAGAACACAAATTAATCTTCTGCTTATAGATAAGGAAAGCATAATATTACTGCTTTCCGAACCATGCTAGCTAATGCTGATCATAAAACTACGGCACTACTGGGTGCTAAAGGACAACAAAAAATAGAAAGCATTTTATTTTAAATGTTTTCAAGTGCTCTTAACTTAAAAAATGCATCATTAAATATGGATTTAGTATTAAATTTGCATGTTTAAAACACTCAGTGAACATGTATCTGAAAATGTATGATGAAATAAAAAGCTTCTCCTCTGCTTAGATGTATGAACAGAATTTTAATTATTTTGGTTTTTTCCCAACAAGTACCGAATACCTCTGGATACCCTTCTCTTGTGTCTGAAAATACTGTTAGAAATGTGCACCAAGGTAAATACAGAATGTGCCTGTTCAGTAATTAACACAATATACCTACCTGGCTCAATAGCAGCAGATATAAAAGACTGGGCTTCCCTTACTCTCTTCATCACTTCTTCTAGCTCCTTGGCAGCAGCTTGTGGTGTCATTTCAGGAGGCTTCACTATTGCATTATTGGAGTGATTTATCCTAAGTTAAAGAAAAATAAAAACCTTTCATTCTTAAACATTTGAACAGGGCAAATGAAAAACAAGTAAGGAAAAGATCTCAACCTTGTATAAAATTAAAAACTTAAAAGTTTAGCAAAACACCCATCTGTTCCTAGTATCAGAAGTATTTGAAATCTTACCACTTTTAAAGAAAGGCAGCGCAGTATTCTTATGTTACAATATTTCTAGTAGAAGTCCAGGAAGTTACTTCTCTATCTCAGATCAAATCTTCACATTAACACCTAATAACTACATACACATCATACTGAAAATTTAATTAGTACTATGGACTTCAAAGATTTTTCACTATTATAGTTTACACTACCTCAAGATTAATATAAATATTAATTTTACTCAATGTTATATGTATTCTATTGAGAGAAATTTATTCCAAACTGTGAAACTGGAGTTGATAAAAATGTTTTGTTTTGTTAACAACAGGTCCACATAGTGAAAAAATTTTAGTCGCAGCATTTTACTACACATAAGTCATAAATATGTGTATAATGATACAAACAAATCTCCCATTCAACAGTAATATGGATAATTAATTTCTTACTTCAGTGGCCGGTCTCCAAACATAACTCCATTAAAGGCAAGAGCTCGAGGTACAGAATTTTGGTCTGCAAATTCCACAAAAGCAAATCGTGTTGGTTGCGTCTCATCACCTGCCATTCGCACAAATTTGACTTCTCCAACTTGCTTAAAGAATTCAAGCAGCTGATCTGCTGTTGTAGTCTAGAAAGAGTTGAAGAGCTCAGCTGAAGTAAACTATACAATGAAAACCATCATGTACTATATTGGGTATTCTAAGAGCACAGATTTTGGAACGATATCTCAGCATTATTACAAAGGTGACATGAATTTGGGAATGTTACATTTTAAGACTTAAATATGTGTATTTTTTCTTTCATTACTCTAAAGAACATTCTACAATTTTAAATAGTACAGCCACACGCCTTTAGTCCTTCACCTAGGTGAAAAAAAAAAATTTACATGGGATTTTGTATTTTTTGGGCAACTACTCTGAAGTAACTGGTATAAGAAGTTTCCTTATACCTGTTTCCAAGCTACTAATTCTACCTTTTGATCAACTAAAACAAAAAAAATCCAAACAATATTAAAGGACTTAATTTATGCGGCTGCTAGCTTCCAGTTTGTTTTATTTTATCACAATCAATAGTACTTTTACACTCAGTAGATGTTTCAGAAGTCAAAAACCTCAAAATGTAATACTTATATTACTATCAGTCAAAAGCAAATATTTTTCAATTAATCTGATCACCTCTCAAAAAACCAAACTGCTGATTGAAAGCTATTTATGCTAATTTTGGAACTTCCAGTAGGACACATCATTCCATCTTACTGTACGTAAGCAACTACACTGTGATGTGGGGGACAGCTACCATGATCTCATTACTTCTGAGGATTGCCCATCTAACACAAGCAAGCTGTACATTTAATCAACACACAAAATTAGAAGTAGGTTTCTTTAATTGATCTACAGTGGATTGTCTGGTATTCTGACAAAGTCTGGTCTAATCTGACTGGCACATGAACCGTCAAAATTGGAAATATCACGAATAAAGAAATCTAGTTTTGTTTAAAATCGTATTTGGTTAAATTCACATTATAATTAACTAATGAAAATTCTTTTAACATGTAAGATTAGAATTCATAGATAACATTTTCACACCTTCTGTTTGTATTTCCACAACAAAGAAACAAAAATAAGCTACCTGGGAATTCAAGTTTCCAACATAGACTGTTCTCCTGATTTCATCAATTTTGGATGGATCCACATTTCCCATAATTGGTGGTTGTGGTATTTCTCCCAGTGCTGTAATGTTAGGATCCAATGCTGCTGCTGGTATAGCCCCTAAAGTACCAAGTGAAACACCAAGCTGGAAAATACAAGCACAGAATACACTTTGCAGCTAAGCACTGGTGAAAGATTTTCCACTTCTTCATACTTGTTTGCCTGGATGTATTTCTATAAACAGATCTAATTAATACAAACAATACTTTAAAGGTCACAGCACAGCAGGTTTTTTTAAAGAAGAGATATCTACCCAGAAATAAGCTTCCATAGTTAATATATTCTATGGGTTATCAGTTACCATCTTATGAAAGAGATCTGGACAGGGATATGTATTAATCACAAAACATACAGGCTCAAATGCTTAGAGTCAAATAAATTCAGTAAGACTCTTTCAGACACTGCTAGTATTCTTATTTTTTTGAAACAAGTTTTTGGACTAGATGAGAAATGGCTGAGATTTTGCTCAGCAAGGAGAGAAGGGCACTTCCAGTGCTCAGGATCAGGGACAGATAAGCACCTTCTGGACAAGTGAATCACTCAAGACAAAATTAATTATAGTTGAAATGCCAAGAACATTCTAAGTTCTTCCACTCATACCTACAGAATGAGAAATGTATACAGCTCTCATGTTTGGAACTGGAAATGAAAAACTCTGCTGTGAAACGTTATAAAAAGTCACTTTAAAATCACTACAAAATTGGTCCACTGAATTCCTGGCTTGAATTTTCTCTACCCAAAAAGCAACTGTCTTTTCAATAAATGAATTTTCTAAGAAGTGTGGGGAATTCTTATCAAGCCATCAGTACCTTTTTCTATGTAACAAAGGAAAATACTACTCTATTTTAACCTTAAATTTTTCTTCAATAAACCACAGCAATTCGCTGATGTCAAGAAAGGCTTACAGAGGCAAAAGGGAATGGAGAAGAAATTGCATAACCAAGCTCCTCTACTTTTCATAGTGAAAACACTGTTAGACAGTCTAACAGTCAAAAATCTTGCCATAGAGATATCAAGGGAAAGTCTCTACTGCAGCTGTTAATGTTTTGAAGAACTGGTGTCAATGTAACCTAGGTTTTAATAAATTTTTTTGTCACTGGTTAACTACCACTGTACCACATTAATGATCCTACAAGGTGGGATGGCAATTAAAAAAAGAACAAAAACCAAAATCAGTATTTACCCACTATTTTGGAAAATAGTAATCTGGAAGAAAAACTCTGGGAATGTAGCACATGGATATCTTCTGATCAATCCTCAGGAGAGCCACCACAGCTAAACCCTCACTGCAACATCTGTTGACCAGACAGTTCTCATTCCCTGTCAACAGAAAAGGCTACAGAGGACAGAGGAAACTGGAAATTATACTGAACTTCACTTACTGTAGTCAAGGGAGTTGGTGTAGGTATAGGAAGCAACCCTGCACCAGGCATCAGACTTGTCATAGTAGGAGCAGGCGCCAACAGAGACAGGGCTTTGGCTTCATCTGGGATTTTACCTGAAGAAGCAAATGAAAGCATTACACAGAGTTGGAACACTAGCCAGATGTTACTCTTTCTATGATTTTACAATTACCTTTGCATTTAAAAATGTATAAATAACAATGAATCTATCTACCAGATCCTTACAAAGAAACAAATAATGTAAGTTTTTCCTTTTACCCTGCTCTATTAGGAAAAACAAAAGTGAGCAAAACTTCAAAGACTAGCAATCTCATTAATGGATTATTATTTTAAAAACTGAATAATGTATATAATTATTTAACACTTTGAGCTATGGGTCACCTGTACTGGAAACTTAACGTTCATGAACCAAACGATATCAAGCATGGACGCTTTCCCAGGGCGGTGTTTTCGCGGTGATCGAAAGTTGTTTTACACATGACAACCGTTCGTGTTGGCTGCATCACTAATAGCACACAGAACATCAGATACAGAAAAGAAGAACATTTTTTAAAGTTTAATCCCCAGAAATGGCAAATAACCAAATCAGTAAAAGAAAGAAAACTAAAAAAAGAAAAAAAGAAAAAAAAAAAAAAAAAAGAAAAAAAAAAGGAAAAAAGAAAAAACCAAAGTATGTGCTGACTGAAATTTGTGCTTTTCTTTATTACTCTGGTGCTACTTACTTAGAATGTAAAAATAAATATAAAATAAAACATAAAATAATAAACTACTGAACTACTGTGACTGCATAGAATACATACTAAAAGTGAAATTTAAAGTGGAAGAAGGAAGAGTAGAAAAAACTTAGATATGTAGTCTCATATTCTAGTCACCCCAGTTCATCTGAAACTGGTAAGTTAACTCTAAATTTACTAAGACTGAAGAAAATCATAACTAATCAGGCTAAGCAAGCTCTATTTTCCCAACATAGATACTGCCTGCTATTTTAACCTGATTATAGGCTTCCTGTAATGCCAAAAGTAAGTAACAACTAATCTGAATTAAATGCTGGTTTCATTGAATGTTAGCCATGATTAGACTACTAAATGAACCCAAAAAATATCTCCAAAGCCAAAAAGATTAATAGTTAAACAATTAAGATTACATTTAAATGTACATTTTAAATTTGAAACGCAAAGTGTTAAAACTGGCAGAAACATTAAACACTAAACTAAAAAACTAGTGAAAGTAGCTCTAACTACACTAGTTATCTATTATCTGTTCAAAATTACTGGCATAACTGTATATATGCTAACTAACTGAGTCCTTTGGTATTACCCCATGGATCTTAATAAAGTAAATGCTTTTATTTCAATATGGTTTTAATAGTCAAGTATTAAATAAAAAGCGTGCCAGTGGATTCCTGCCTTGATTAAAACTACACGTTTTAACTACAAAACATCTAAATCCAAAATTTGAAGATTAATATTCTTATCGAAAAGGAAAATTTGAGGTAGGTTTCAAAACACCATGCACGTTTAGCGATATGAGTTCCAACTGACACCACAGAAAACATACTAATTTAAAAAACTAAAAGAAACAAGTGCTGCAAACCTGCTCTACAGATCTGTGGGAAAGTCTGGATTACAGCTGGATATGACTGAATGACAAAACAAATCTAAAGGAAACTTAATTTATACGTAGCATGGGTGGAACAGAACAGATAAAATAACAGTACCCATTTTCTTTTCATGCTTCCTATTTACATCTATTTTATTTATGTTAAATTTTGAGACACCTTGTAACTTAACATGTAAGAAATCACTTGATTTTGCTAACTAAGAGAAAAAAAAATAGGACAATTATTAGTGCTTAGGAGTTAACTGTGCAATAATGATTTCCAGGACTTTTTAAAAAAAACATGCATGAATCTAAGCCACCATCACAATGTTCAGCACTTTTAACACATCTCATTTTGAAGTCAGGCATGCAATGAGAAGGGTAGCTGATTTGCCTGACTGCTCAAAAGTATCAGGTACTTTGCATACCCTGCCTAATATGTAGGCCTACTAACAGGCTTTTGAATATACAGTTCCAGCAGATGTGCATGCAAATTAGGCAAAGAATTATGTACCAGTTCTTCTGAAAATAAAAGTATTAACATTTTTTCAAATGAATAATGAACCAGAACTTATCCTGAAACAATCACCATCTTGCAATTAAACAGCTACTCATGCAGGTTTATATGGCTCAAGAGACATGGCACAATTAAATCCAATGGTAGAAATGGCTCTGATAGTGGTGTGCCTGCATGCCAAGTTCCTTAGTCAGTACTGTACATAAGTATATGCCTAATTTAAGTATGCACTTACATACAGACAATTCAATAGACACTTAACCAGGTAAACTTATAAAATGCTTAGGCATTTAGCCCTTTTAAACAGGTGCTCAATTAGGCACATATAACTAAGATAGACAATGAAGTGACTTCAGCAGAAGCCTAAACTTTAAGTATATGGATCATAGCACTGAAATAACTGAAATCATTAACTTGCTGAATCATTGTTCAAGAAATCCACTGAACATTTAATGTTATAGCAGCTCACAGAATGAATAGCATGCATATGTAAATTGTAAAGTTTGCAGCATCATTTCCAGAATATTTTGGTATTTCAACAATGTAAAGTTCTATTTTAAATACAAAAATCAAGTAGATTAGTTCCACACCACAAAGAAAGATTCATTTATTTTGTTTTCAAGAATGACAAAGGTCTATTTCTACAGACAGAATCCTAAAAATTTGCCTGTATATTCAACGACACTGTCTCTTCAGGGTAACTTTTCCAATTTTTACGTCCAGGTCAAGTTTTTAAAAAATTCTACAGAACACTGTTGTGGAGCAAAAAAAAAAAAAAAAAAAAAAAAAAAAAAAAAAAAAAATCTGCAGTATCTTGAACATCTACCTTTATAGTCTTTAAATAGTTTTGAAAAACAAATTAATGTGAGTTCAAGTAACTTAATGAGTAAAAAGCTTTAAATTTTGTAATTTTACCTCTGTGATTGTATTTGTAAAGGAAATACAAGCCCACTGAATACATCAGAACATGTAGGTTATGACACAACAGTTCAGGACAATATATTTTAAAAATAATACTTTCATTTTTAAACATGGTATTTAAAATCTGAGTAAGAACGAGGTGAAGATATTTATTTTCTAATGACGGAGCAGTCAAAATAATGATGCCATATCTATACCACATCCTTAGACAGATTTCTTAGAAGCTCTTCTGCTTAGTAAATTACAGGTTCTGTGATCATTTATTGATTCTCCCCTTTGCAAGAATCTGGAAGCAAACGTACATTGTCACAGCATTGCTTAAAGGCACAGTTGTGATTGCTACTTTTTTTGTACCATTAGTCCAAAGAGCCCTAGACAACCTAGTCCATACTAGAATCCATTCTGCTGAAGGCTGAACAGAATCATCTGTATCAAACAAGTACTAATTACAGTATTTTTATTCCTCAAGCACTCAAATTAATTTCCAACTCTTTGTAGTGAACCTACAGTCAACCCCCACATCCCAAAGTGCTTCTGCAAAGAATTTACCTGTTTTAAAAACACTGAAGAGTTCACAGTCTAATTTAAACATCTAAAAAATCATTATTTTCCTGCTACTTTACATCAACAGAACACGTATGCTTAGAAATAATTATATTAGATCCAACTCATGAATCTTAGTGCATTTAGCAGAAGCAAATGAAGAGATTACAGCTACCAGCAATTACAACTGTCATGACCAAATCCAACAAAGATCACAAATCACAGCTCTTCCCAGCTGCAGTGCAGAGTCTGGTGAAAGGAGTGAAAACATGAGATCCCAGTGCAGCTGGCTGGGAAGAGCAGTGCCTAAGGACTAGACGCACCACCTTGTCCACCACTTCTGTTTCAGGGCTTCTGTTTCACCAGAAGAACATCATTTAGAGATCAATCACTCCAGCATGAACTGCCAGGGCTTCTGAGACTCTGAGATGACTGGAAAAACCCTTTTTTTTCTGACTTTAGTGGTTTTCTTAAACATCTTCCTGAAATAATCACCACTAGAGCATGTCAAAGTGCAACACACACAGGCACACACAAAGAAAACTGATTCAATCTTCCCACAAGTAACAGTGTTAAAAGACAATGTGTCTCACATAACACACTCCAACCAAAACTTCAGGCTGCATTTGTACTTATGAGTGGTAAATAGTTTTTTCTTAAAGTTACAGAAAAAAAAGATGAAATCTTACTACCACTGACCTCACTGGAGCAAGGTTTCACCAGAAGTAAACAAGTATTTCATGACATTTGAAATTCATTAAAAAATGAATTTCAGAAATAATTATTTTAAACTCATCATGTTAGACATAAATAGTAAGCCTTTTTTTAAACAGCTGGTGCAACCTAAAATGGAACACTCTGCTGAGGGAAAGTAGCAGAGAAATATTATGACTTTACTTTCTAAAGTTGCTTTCTCCAGAAGTAAGAGTTTTACCTGTCCTTTTCCAAGATAAACTCATAAAGCACAACATATGGAATAATATATCTCAAAACTATTCTTTGTCTTCTGACACAATGTACTCATCTGCTGAATTTAGATACTTAAACAAATTCCAAATCAAATTTATTCTTAATTCAGAGCACTAAAAAGGAATCATATTCTAAATTCTCCATATACCATCCACCATTCATAAGCAGCTTCAGGTCAACTTCAAAATCAAACACTGTGAATCCTTTACAAACATCATTTTACAGAACTGAAGTACCAGTTCACAAGTACAAGGGAAAGAGATTTAACAGAACAAAACAAAAAAGGGACAAAATAAAATAAAAATAAAAGAAATGAAGGAAAGAAAGCAAAATAAAATAAAAACAGAGACAGGGCGTCCATCTTCAGCAGGTCAGACTTCGATCTCATTTCCCCCATGAAGGTTTCACTTGGCGGCAGGTTTAGTGGCATGGCAAACAATGCCTAACTCAGGCAAGTGTAACAGGTCTGCCTTGGCCAGTCTAGTCATCTAATAATGCACAAATATCACACAGAAAAAACATACAAAACCAAATTAATAGTCAAAATCCATCTACCAGATAATGTGGACATAAAATTTAGAAAGATTAGGGTGGCATCTTTGTTTAGCTTTCAACCTTAGCATTTTCAAAACATATTTAAAGAAAAACCTACCAATACACACACACACACAAAAAGTTGTATTTTCACAGCTTAATAAACTTTCTTCATTTACAATTATATTTTTGTTAAATTGTTTATCAATTGTCACATACTTTACATTCATTTCATTCTGTAGTGATTTCCTCCTTTATTTACCACTCTTTAAATACACTCCAAATTTCAGATTTTTTTTCTATTTTTTTGAACCAGGTTTTTAGATTTCCATTTTACCTCTCCTCTATGTTTAACTTCACACATTAAATGTTTTATTACTGGCAATGTTGGTCAATGGTGTAATTTTACCTCCTGGTAGGATAAAAAGCCATAACTACTTTTAAAACCCATGATCCACTTCACTGACTCCATTAACAGTGCATGATATGATACATAGTGAAAAAACCCTTATACTATGGTCTCCAAAGCCATACTTGTTCCACACAATAAATTCATCAGAAAGTTAAATTTGTATAATTTCACATCTTTTTATAAATGAGTGATTTTGATACAAAGTTACAGAGAAGAGCATTCTGACATCAAAAAAAGCAACCTCAAAACTCCATCACTTGTTCACCTAATTATGCATACATTTCTGTGGAGTCCAGAATGTATCTAAACAGTGACCATGTTTTCTCAGAAATGCCCAATGAGCCAGTTATGAATAGAGCTGGAACAAGATTTGCCAGAATTTTGACTTACTCTCCTTTCTTTCACTGTCTACCACAAAAGACACAGGAAAATGTAGCTTTACCTGCCTGTTGCCATATCATGTCAGGCAGTAATCTCATCACAAGTAAAATACCAGGAATGTTGTTCTCTCATTAGGCAGCCATCTTCCCTCTCTGGCAGTACTGAACCACTGTAAGATCTTATTAACTAAATATAAAACTAAGATTCTGAACAATCTTTTGTCTATTTATTTAGGGGCAATTCTTCAACTGGAGACTCTGGTCCCCTTAGCCTCTACACAGTTTCCAGTCCATATAGCAATATTCTCGTTGTGGTTTAAGAACAAGTTAAAAACATGAAAACAAAGAGCCCCCAAAACAAGATACAAAAGGAACTAGAAACCTAGGCTTTACAAATATAAATATATGTGCTGTATGACCTGCCAAAGAAAGCTACAAGAATAGGCAGTATACTGTAGGTCAGTATGGCCTTTAGTGAAAGTATTTTCATAGTTTGTGAAATTTTGGAGACTCGTCAGTTTGTTAAGAACGTCCCAGGTGAGGATTATAGCAGCACTCATCTCACACTATCTAGATCATGATGCAGCAAACATGCCAAAATGTGGTACTCTGGGACCTTGTTAACAACCTGCAAGAAGTCAATAGTATTTTTTTGAACCAAAACCTGACTCTTGCAGTTAGAGATGTTAATAAGAGGTATTTCTTGATCTGCTACAGTTTACAGTTCAATCTACATTTTGTTGTTCATGGCAAAATAGCAACTAAGTTGAAAGTAAAGTCAGGTTCACTCTATCAGGTGGAATTATTCCATTCTGAAGAGGCAAAAGGTCCAGTACCAGTCAGAGGCTAAATTCCACAGTGATCCTAATGAAGTCAATGGGGCTCTGCCTAAATCCATTGATATGCCTGCCACAAGACTGTTCTTCATGTAATTGTATTCAAATCTAGGACGTTTCTATAAAAAACACAAACTGTCTTGTACTCAACACATTTGTAAAAGCATGGCCTCAGAGCTAGGGAAGGAACATCTCTTAATGTAGTATTCATCAACTATTTTATCTCAAAAGAGTTTTAATGTAATTACATTACATTAGTAGTGTTTTTAAGAACACTTAATATAATTACATTACTAATGTTTTTAAGAACATTTTATGGGAGCATTCTGGACAGATCACTGCATATTTAAACAGATATCCAAAATAAAAAAGGAGTACCAGTATACATAATAGAAGTTTTTTATGGCACATGGGAGTAGTATTTTCAACAGTAACAAGAAGGAAAGATGTTTGTTTAAAAATTAAACTAGCACATAAGCATTTATATTCTAACAGTATTTTGAATGCTAAGTATTTTGAATTAGATGACCTCTAAAATGGCCAAATGAGTATATCACGTCTGTAAGACAAAACTAGGGTATGCACTCTAAAAATGCAGAAATAATCAGTATATTTTGAAAAGCACAAATCAGCAAAAAAATCTCTACAGCAAAGTTGATACATTAAAATTCAAACTGCAATGTTAAGTGTCAGGAAATTGCCTGATCTTCTCAGAGCTCCATTGACTTCAGTGAGAACTCTGTGTGCAAATACACTTGCCTACAGAAACCATAGTGAAAGGAATTATTTTCCTTTCTTTTCCTTCAAAATACGTAATAACTATCATAACTTAACCATAAGTTATCATAACTTAAACCAACTATCTTTTTGCTAATGTTGAATTTCCATTTAATATATATAACTGGGGCTTTTTTCATTCAATTTTCAATTTTGTTTCAAGGCCCTTTTTTTTCTAAAAAGCAATAAAATAAAATAACACAACAACAGAGCATCACCTTACATAGAAAGCTTAAAACAATTAACAAACACAACAAAGACTAACATTACAGGAGAATGTCTAAAATACCAACCTTCGGCGCAGGGCACAACTATCAAAGCTCTGTCAATAAAAACCGTGTTAGTTAGATGCTGGGCCACACCAACACTCGATGCTTCACGAAACTTAATATAACATACTTTGGAGGAAAACGCAAGAGGTGCGTTGCTGCAAGATAAAAGGAAAAAATAACAATTAGTCTTAACTGTATGCATGTATTTTTAACTATTACTAATAGGGGAAAAGAAATTTTTCCTAGAAAAGGAAGCCTAAAGTATAGAAATCTAACTTGCCACTTGCTGCATCAGCAAGAAAAGAATGGAGCAACTTTTTAATGAAAACTTACATAAGCGAAAGTCACTAATTAACAAGACTAATTTTCTTCTATTATCTGGCTACACACTGAATAGTACGTTTCAAATTACTATTTTAAGGAGCATATTTACTTGACAATTACAATTGCCAAGTAAATATTTTATAGTTTCTCTTTTTTTTTCTGAAAATAATCTTTGTTTAGGAAAAACAAACAACAAACCCTGCCATTTTTTGGTGGGTCCTTCAGATATTAGCCTGTAAAAATCAATATTCTTTCTCCAGCTTTCACAAAAGTAGTTATCTTTCACAAAGATAAAAACAGTTCTTGAGAGGGCTTTCAAATACTGGGTCTTAGCTGACTAATGTAACAAAAACCATTTGCCTAAACTCAGCACAATGTAGCATGGAGTAACATTGGAGGAAGTAGGAGCAACTCACCTACAAAAGGGAAAGAATTTGTAATTCACTTTTCTATTACACTGTATGCCAAGAGAGGACATTGCAATCTTGATAAACACCACTTAAGTTTGCTTTAAAAATGGATTCCATAGTCACGGTTTGTATTTCTTATATTAGCAGCTTATTTCTTCCATGAAGGAAGTACAGGTAAATATTCAAAGAGAGAATACAGTATTGCTGGAATATCAGCAATCTTTATTTGAAATAATGGAAAAAATGTTGCATACACTTTTCACCCTGGTCCTATCTCAATCAAAACAAAAACACTTGTCAAATTTGTGGAAGCACAAGCAGCAGTTCAAGTTTAAAACAAACCATCCTGGAGTCCCCTCATATTCCAAGGACGTATTTATCTCCGTTATTCTATGAAATTCTATTAGATTACAGGATTTAAATAAAAATCAAAAGTTTCAGACATGTGATCTCATCATATTAATTATAAAAATAAACCAAAATGTAAGCCTGAGGCAGGCAAACTAGTATGTTTCTTGCTACCAGGACAGTAGCAAAAATGTATAATATCTAGAGATGGCCAAATTCAGAATGGCACTCAGAAACATCTATGATGGAAAATTCTGTAGGAAAAGACAACACTGTGGAGGAAAAACTAAACAGGGAGTGGGAGACACGTAAACATGAAAGTCAATGTCATACAATTTAGAGAAAGATTACAAGATGACTACATTACTTCTGTCCACTTTTATGTATTTGTGATGGGTAATGCTTTTAGCATTTCAAGTTTCCACATTCAGGAAGGAAATAACTGCATAAAACAGCTTCTGAGCCAGCTGTAAGGTCTCAGTTGAGACCAGTTTCCAGCATCAGAGGTGACAGCCAACTGTGGCTTTTTCAGTACTCGAGATACTTCGTTCACCACAAAGACTTCTATGGCAACAAGTAGTTTTTTTATTTGGTTTGGCTTGGTTTGGTGGGGGAGAGCACTCTAAGGGGAGGGAGAAGCTCGTGTCTTGGAGTTTCTTGTCATCATTGCATGGTGTTTGCTTGGTTCTTTTAAAATGCATCCCTCAGTGTTATAACCCAAATGGCTGAGGTCACCACTAAAGGTTCTATGGCCCACACTGCTGAAGACTTCTAAGATCTGCTGATTTTTCTTTCCTTTTTTGTTTTCATTACCAACTCAAAAATATAATTCTGCTCAATGCAGTTTCAGACCCCCCAATAATCCTTATAAATTTTAACATCTACAGAGCCTGCACTATCAAGTGTGTTTTTTTTAATATTTACTCTCCTGTATTCCCTGATTTAGAACACAAAAGCTATGTGGACAGTATGTTAAAAAATATTAGATGTCTGAACATTTGTGCAAATGAGGCCCTACAAAAACATCTTGATAGCAAGTGTTTTCCAGAGGTTAGAAAGGAGAAATTCTCTACAAGGTGACACTCTCTACTAAAAACAAATCAAAGTTGCATCAAGGGAAACTATAAAGACCTAAGAGATCTAAAATTTTAGAAGGTTTAACAGTGATCAAGTCCTCTTCTTTTATGAAGGGGGCCTCCAAAATCTTCCCATCAGCCTTTAAAAGAAGTTTTTTTTCCTAAATAGTGAAGTCCTAGTCTAATTCTTTTTGTTTCTTTTTTTTTTTTTTTTTTTTTTTTGCTAGCCTTTACTGAGGCTGAATTGAAGGAGACTCATAATATTTTTCCTAGGTTACACAGCCTTGATGTCAAAAAGCAACTCGTGTATCTCTGATTCAAAGTTACTAAAATGCAGTTAGTCTCTTTGAAAAAAAAATAAGAGGAAGTAAATATCTAAATAGTATTTGGACATTTCTAACATTTTTGTTTCACTTTGTAGGAAGACAGCAACAGTCATGTTCTAACAGAATAAAAATCAACCAAAAAATTTCCAAAGAAGGATCTATTCAAAAATCTACAGCAATAATAATTATAAAAAAAGGTTACAAAACATTTCTCTAACTCTCTCCAAATTTTCTTCAGCGGGGCAGGGAGGTGAGGTGTGTGAGGTGTGGAAGTCATGACAGAAATTAATAACTGATTAAAATAGATTATGGAATAAATCTGCAGATCAGTTTAAATGAGGTTCTGTGTGTTTTGTCTCAGAAGCCTCACCTACACTGCTGTCACTACAGGATATACCAGTTCTATTTATTGGACTATACAGATGATGACCCCTTTTCTCAGATGAGATTTCCCTTTCTTGGTTAAGGTGGCCCACCCACCTGTGTCAGAACATATAAAGGTATACAAATGACTTGGCTGGCACCCCTCAATGCTGAACTAAGCTTTGCCTATATACTCTCGTTCATGAACAGAACACCTTAAATTTCCACCTAGAGGAGGCCCTAAACCCCATTGCCAAGGTCTGGTATGGCATGTGTCTCCACCTCTCAACGCCTGCTGGGCTGCAACCAGAGCAGAACCTCCTGGTGGCAGAACACAAAGGCCAACCCAGTCTTGCCCTTGACTAGGGAAGGGTTATGACAAACTCACCCATCATCCAAGTTTTTGTAAAAGGAAAAGTTTATTCTCCAACAGAGTTTTGGCTTCCAAGACCACTCCCGACTATTCAGTAGCAAGAAGTATTACACAGCAGGTCTTTCCACACCTAATAGAGACAATTTGTGACTCCCTGCTTTCAAACAACTCATTCTGCCAAAACCCAATTGCTGCTTAGTAAGTTTTTCAACACCTAACCATTCAAAAATCTTCTTAAGGCCACATTTGAAGGCTCATTCCTACACATGTAATTTTGAAGCCTACTCTGAAAGGCAGACTTCAACTGGGTTACAAGTGTATGGGACTGTCTGTGCATGTCTGGGACTAAGAATCCAATTACAGGTGTCACTGGTCTCCTGTAAAACTGAAACCACCACTAGGCTGTGGCAGTGGCTAGCATACTGGAGTTCCCACCCAAGGCAAAAGACCTGTCACAACCTGCAAACCAGCTTCAGTTTTTAACTGTACTGCGAACTGACAGTGATCTGTGTTTTATCTGGGACATCTCTGCTTCCAGTCCACTCGTTTTATGAATTTATCACAATGTTATTTAAATACATTTTCAGAAAGTCAACAGGAAACACTTTTTTTTTGTTGTTTCTAAAGAAAGGCATTAGAGTAATTACTTAATTTTCTCTCAAGGTAGCAATTTGAAAGTCAGCTCTAATGTCCATAAGTATGAAGCAAGGAAAACCATACTTCTAACATGTATGCGTAAATAACGGTAAGTAAAACCAAGAGTAAAGCAGGTAATTGCAATCCTGCATCCTATCTCTGAAAACCGAATTAATCAGCATTATAACCTTAATATTGATAAATTATTCCCTACTATGGTACTGGATTTTAGTATTTTATGTGCATATACACCGTGGCAAAACTGTACACATTGGTACAAACATTATTTGTGTATTAATGTCAAAAAAGTCCCCATTTCCCTTAAAATCTGTCATATAGCCTAGTGAAAGACAAGAACAACAGCTGCAATAAAAAACCAGATTCAGTCAAGTGAAAACACAAAATATAAAGAAGCAACTATGGAACAAGTCCAGAACAAAGCCCCAGAAAACTGCACAAAAATCCACCACATAACTATCAGTAATGCATATCTTATTTTAAGCGTATCTTTTTTTCTTTTTTTCTGAATGATTGGTATTCAAATATAGTCAGATGTTATGTAGCTACATAAAAACTGATAAACACCAACTTTATTGACTATTCTCTTTTGCAAATCAAATTTTTGTTAGCCTGAGCATTTATCTATCAAAGTTCACATACTGGGATGCTAATAATGCCCTCTCCTTTCCACTATTCCGATTTAATTCTTCTAAGAAAATACAAGGTTTGATAAGGCACATTTATTATTCGCTTCCCAGTACAACTGCTGCCTCGAGAGAAAAAAAAATTCATCTCTTCCTGCTGATCATCTTTTCTCGGGAGAGGCAACACTGTTATTTTGCAAGACCCTGCATCTCCCACCTGAGCGCACTCTCGCACACCGCTGACACCACGCGAACCGCTGTAACATAGGGAGAAATGTGACGCCTGGGATTAATATACTGTACAAGCCTTAGCGGGGGTAACTACGAGGCAGGGCAGGTCCCTCCTCTGCTCTCTGCAAAAGCCACTCTGGCTTCTATTCGAATGACCCCTTCTCGGAGCACACGGCCCTTCCAACAGAAGGGAAAAAAAGAAAAATAATAAAGGCAGTCGAGCGAGGGCGGGCCTGGAACTCCCGGTCTCGGTCGCCTGCACGCAGCGTGGGCGAGGAGACAGAAAGCGAGTTTTTAGGGAAGGGGGAAAATCTCCGGCGCCGCCATCTTAAGTGCGGGCGCAGCGCCCTCTCCGCAGCTCCGACCATACAAAGGGCAGGGACCACGTGACGCCTCCCTGGTGCCCGCACTCAAAATGGCGACTCTGGCCTCCTGCCCCTGCCCTTCCCGCCACCCCCCGGCTCCTCCGCGCCCTTCCTCATCCCTAGGCTGGCTCCGTCGCTGCCAAGGGCGGCACGGGCCCCACTTACTCCGGGGGATAGAGACGTAACTCCTCAATATCTCCTAGGAAGCCGAAGAGCGTCCGCATCTGCTCGCTGGTCACGGCCGAGGAAAGGTTGGTGACCTGGATGACGGACGTGGGGCCCAGGGGGAAGCCCAGCGGGACCCCGATGCCGCCGCTGTTCATCATGGCGGCTCCTGCCAGCCTCACCGCGCGCACCCGGGGGCGCGGGCCCGCCCACGGCGAGAGGCGCGCACTACCGGCCGCAGCGGCCCCGCGGACGCCGCTCTAGCAGTGCACTCGGTTGCTCCCAGAAGCGTTCTCGCAGGGACTGGCGGCCCCTGCCGGCAAGGCCTCCGGGCCGCCCGCGGCGTGGAGACCACTCACTTCCCCAGGAGCCACCTCATCCGGAGCCGGCCGCGCCGCCGTGCGCAGGGCGGGACCGGCGCGGGGCCCGCGCCCTCCCAGGAAGAGGCGCGGCCCGCGAGACCCCGCCCCCGCAGCGCGCCTTGGCGCGCCCATGGCGGCGGCTGCTGAGGGCCTTGTCGGGGGAGTGCGGGGGAAAAATGAGATTTCCCGTTTAATTGCGCGTTTGGCCACGATTAGTAAAAGACAGTTTAATCACCCTAGGGAACAAACCTCTGAACACACCTTCTGTCTAAACAGGAAGGGATTGTAATAGAAGGGGTTGTAAAGTGTTCTGGTTTAAATTGACTGGGACGCTATCCCAATGAAATTGATCTTGCCTGCAGTTGTAGTTCAAGTTTAACTTAAAAACTACATTGTCTGGAGAAAGTGAGGCTGATCACTTCATGTGTGGGCTATCACTATTAGGGATCAAGCTGCATTATTTCCTAGTGGTATGGGGCTGTGCGTCTCGGCACTGAAAGGTTTAAGGTTTCCGGAAGTTTGTAAGACTTTCTATTCCCCAACTGAGAAGAGATTGAAGTATTTTTGAAGTTATCTGGGTTGAAAAATCCTGCAAATTTGTGACAGTTCCCTGAGCAAGCAGGTCAGTTGTTACATAATCTCCACAGATAAGTCTGGGTAGTGCTTACAGGTATTGATGCTCAATACATTACAGAAATGTAATTCCAAGCAATTGTCAGAGATGCGTTTTAGATAAATATGTTTATGCATATGTTTCAGGGCTTATTTCAAAATCATTATCAGTGCATTCATATTCTCTTTCTAAATGAAATACGTATTCCAAAAGTACAAAAATCCTTTCTAAATATGTTTTTCAGCCATTCTGGTAGTGCCGACGCTTCTCTCCCCGACGCCCTTCCTCAGCCCCGGCTAGCTCTTCTGGGGAGAGGTGCGGGCAGGTTTCTAGCGCTTCCCGCTGGACCCTCGCGGGCTTTGGGAAGCACTATCGGAGTTCCAAAGAGCAGCCAGCGACCCCACGGCGAATTACGAAGAGAGTCTTTCTCTGGGGGCGAATTCCGTTTATTGTAATCCAACGGGGAATACAATAACTCGAAGGGGACCAGGCGTGCCGCGCTGGCATTTCCCAGAAAGGCATGGGCAGGACGGAACACGCTGGAGCCAGCCAGAAGAAAGCGCGAAACGAATTAAATTCGGAACGGGGGAAAACTGAACAGCCAATGGGGTAAAACCGCGGGGTGGTTCGAGGGTGGTGGGATACGGGGGTACATCCAATGAAGGACAGACAGGGGAAGGGTCCCAGGTCCTCTACCAATCACCCGGCGTCCCGGATGGAAGATTCTAGGTGGATGGGAAGGGACACCGAGTGACGGACAGGCATCTGGGGTAAACAGGGGGATGATTTAGCACTTTGGGGATAACGGACACTCGGGGGAAAGGCGGGAAAACCCGGGGAGAAACCATTACAGAACCGGGGGTACATGGAACAAACCTATACATAATACAAATGTAATAAAACATAAAAAACACAACTTTACATGGTAGCTTCTAGGTAGCATAAGTTGAGAGAAGTTTAAGTGGAGCTTCCAGATAGTTTGTTTTATATTTTGGAAAATAAAACTGATACTATTATTCTACATATAGGAACTTTCCATAAAATTTTGTTATCCCTAGACCATCATATCCAAAGATGGTTAGCAGAGATGTAGAAGCTATTTCTCCTATGAATATTCTTACCTTTCTCCTTGCATCTCTCAGTGGAAGATCCAAAATAAAAATGAACTCTAAAATTCACAAAAAGCCTTGTGATGTTAGAACTGACTGGGATACCCTCCTTCAGATAAAACCTGTAACAGTACATACAGAATTCTGAGCTACTGATCTGCTCTCTGAAAACAAAGCAGTGTTTAAATTTTGTAATTATCAGTCCCTGCCACAGTACAAAATTAGCTTAGAAAATAAATTAATTTTTATTTTGAGAAGAATTGGCAACAAAAAAATCACACCAATCCAAGACCCCCAAAAATCTAATGCTGAAAGCTTTGGGTTACACATGCTGCCACTAAAAGGCTGGAAGCAAGTAATGCCTATTTTAGTCAAAGCATTCAAAATTTAAAGGTGTTAAGGAGCCACTCCCTCTCCTATAATAAAAATTTTCCAAGCTATTGAGAAAGAAAAAGTTAAATAAAAAGAGTCGACATGCAGAAAAGGAATAGTTGTACAAGCAGTGCCCAAATATCATCTCTCTAATCAATGGCTAACAGACCTGCAGCTTACAAATTGCTTTAGGCCTAGAGAAAATTTTAGCTGTAATCAAAGTGAATTAATAGGTATACAAGTTACTTTTCAATTATTAGCTGTATTGTGCATGTAAGTAAATTCTTTCACTTCTACCTTGCCTGTCAGGTTAACTAGCAAAACACAAGGCATTACGCTGGCTCTTTGGAGGTAAACATAAATTCCAGATTACTTAAATGTAAAATGGTGAAGCTGTTAAATAAGAGTGACTATTAACCTTTTGTCTAAGACTGTATTTAGTGATCTTCCCATGAGGATTAAAAAGCATTTACTGCGTAATGTTAATTGCAAGTACCACTAGAAAAATATTGGCAATTCAGAATGAAGTTACAGTAAAAAGGTGTTTTAGAGGATCAGGAGAAAAGTATTTTCATTACACGAAGTCACCTTTTAAGCAGACAGTAGGTGGTCTGATAGAGGTGGACATCTCTGGTATTTGCTGTGCTTGCAGGGAGAGGGAATTGAAATAATACGAGGTAAAAGCATTAGAAAGCTTTCATCAGCTTTCCTTAAATGGAACTTTAAAGACTTAAAAAATAATGTTAGCCACAGATCTAACAATTATTTGATAACAATAGAATTGTTCTAAGTTGTAAGCAATTTATGAGAAGTGAAATTTAACTTACGATTCAACAACTCCTGTAGCACTGGTGAAACTTACCTCTGGAAATCTAAAGCCCTGGAGACTAATGAGAAAGCTCGAGCAAAAAAGATGTACCCATGGCTGAGGAGAACCAGGTTAAAGGAATTGTTCACAGCCAATGTTACAGGACATGATGGGATGTTTCTGTGAGCATTGAGGAATCTAGCCAGTGTACTGTGTGACCGCTTCTAATTATATTTCAAAGTCATAGTGTTTGGGGAGGGCAATGTCACCCCTGGATTCTCGACGGGCAAGAAAGGAACACTGGTAAAATTAGAGGGAAATCAACCCCACCTCAGTCCCTGGGAAAGTGATGGAGCAAATTCTCCTCACAGCCATTTTCAAGCATGCTAACGACAAGAAGATTGGGAGTTGTTAGTATGGATTTATAAAGAGAAAACTGTGCCTGACCACCTGGTAGCCTTCTGCTGCTGTAAAATGACTGGCCCATGAATGAGGGGAGAGCAGCTAATACTTTTATCTTGATTTTTTCGAGGCTTTTGTAACTTTGTCCCATAATATCCCTTAAAGTATTTTTCTTTGACTGATCTTTTGAAAGCAGTACTAGAATGCCACTAAAAGCCAATATATTTGAATAGCCTGTGCTACCTAAGTTTGTTTTCATACACAGTAACTTTACACCACTTTCATTATTATATAACCAAGATGTCAGTGTTTTGTGTAGATTAGTGATGCAGAACACAGGAAAACAATTTCTCTTCTACAACATGAATGTTCCTTCTCTGACATTAATCAAGAGGCATAATCTTTAAATGCCAATCTCCTACCACTCACAGTAGACTGCAGGTACAAACTACTGCCGATAATATATTCTGTTTGTGCTATGATACATGTTCCAGTTTCAGAGACAAATGTTTGCATGTCATATTAATTTGAACTAATTTTCAAATACAGACAAATCAGAAAGTGTTAATTCAGAATATTTCAAAGACAACAGACTTTAGCCTAAACTCCAGCAGATCCACTGTGCTTCCCAAGTACAAGAAGTGGCTTTCATCCCCTTTCCATTGTTATACCTTTAACTGCTCTCATTTTTATGTATGCCTTAGTATAATTTATGGAGTTTTTTTTGAAGAGTCATGTAGAACAGAAAAACATCTTACAGAAAAAACTCTTAAATCTGTGTAGTATTCTCCAATCCACCAGATTTGTAATCCCAAAAATTCTATAAAAGAAAGTATAAGACCAATTTACATACCTACCCAGAAAAACTATGAAAATATTTTTCCAGATAAAATTTCTAGTGTAGTAATTGTTTTCCCCAGATTCAAGTTTACACATCTAGAAATCTTAAAATCCTGCCTATGATGAGATTAACAGATGAATGCTACATGGTCAGTGTAAGCAGCTGAAACCAGTCTAAACTTGCTACCTCTGGATGGCAGTCAGCTGTACAAGTTAGCATTGGTAAACTGAAACAGCTGCGAGATTTCTGCATCTGCTTTTTATCTGTTTTACAGCAAACGCATGAAAAAATTTAGAATTGCTGTATTGAGCACTGTATTGAGCATAGCAGTTTCAATTATAAGAGTAAAATTAGCAGCTCTATGAATGTGTTTTACAATAATATTCTTCTCCCCATAAAATTGTTTATGTCAAAGATAGAGTAGTTCTTCTTGACTTACAATTATTTTTAAACTAACTTCAATATAAGATGAGGGGGTTAGCTGATAACCTGAGATAGTGTTGCTAACTCTGAATCTCCAAGCACATATTAACAAAGGAGTATCTCTACCACTGAGAGACTGGGAAAATGCACAAAAGCAGTTAAGATTTGAAAATCTTAATATGAAAACACCAGTTACCTTTTCAGGGCAGCATTTCTACTGAAATTTAGTATGTGTTCTACTTGGATTACAGAAGCATATTTTCTTTAAAGGGGGAATTTTAGAAAACTCTTTTTAAAAGCTATATAAAAGCCTACACATCAGTAGAAAAAATAATAGGTTTATTATATACTTTTAATACCCGTATGTGTATCTATGTATGTGTAGGGAAATGAAAGAGAAATGTAAAAACTCAGCTCAGCTTTTTTTTTTTTTTTTTTTTTTTTTTAAATTAAACTCTGTGTCTTCTAGAAGATCTGCTACTTGCTGTTTTTCCTGCTGGACATGCAATCAGAACTGTTTGGGTAGGTGACCACTGGGGCGAAAAAAAGCATCTTTCTTCTTTGCTGTGAGGTTATGCCACTGGGAATCACAGCATGTAATTCTGCATACGGGGAGAATGTTTTTAAACCTCGAAAAACCCTGTCTGAACAAGGTAGTTCAAAGGGGTTGGATAGAAAATTCTGAATTCACTTGGATGAATTTCTTCTCCTTTCCAATCACATTTTGTAGGAGCAGGGCAAGAAGTTTTCTTCGTTGCATAAGAATATAATGGAATCTTTATTATTGTGAAGTTTGAAAACTGGAGTAAAACTTGGTGCACAGAAACATTAATGGTTTACTTCCAGCTTTTTTTTTTTGTTTGAAAGTGGCATAAAATAGGTAGAATCACAAAACAAAGTGAGTTTGTTAAGTAGTAACTCTAAAAAAAATTATTGTTTTTTTCAAATGTCTTACAATATAAGCACATAATGATTCAATTTATAATAGATTAACTACATTTGCAATTAAATAAACCACACATTGTTTACTGCAGGGTCAGGAAGTCACCCAGTGTGTTTTCATAAAATTAAAATGCAGAAGAAAAAAAAATTGTTTCAATGTTTTATCTGTTTGGAGGTTTTCAGCATGGTTTCTAACCTTTGCATACATCCAACTCCCACCTTATCATTCATTGCTCATGCAAGATAGCAAATGAGACAATTTTACGTGATCATTTCCAGGACTTAGTATTATGTCAGCTAACTAGCTGTTACTCTATTTCAATATTTATTAGTAAACTTCAGTTTCTCAGTAGTGAAGCCATAGCTTTCAGCTGAAGTAGATTTTGGCGGAAACATTCTCAGCAAAAAATACCTTCACCAAATTCAAAACCAGTTGTTGATTATTCTGTTGTATGTGGAAGTTCTTGCAGATGAAAATAAATCAAATACACTAAAACACTGATGTTAAGAGTCATGGTACAATACTACAAACCCTGTATTTTACCAGTGCATACTTATAATTCAGTAGAAAGCTTTTACTGCTTTTTCTGGGTTTTTTATGGCTGTTTTTTTCTCCAAAGTTTCCTTCATAAATTACCAACATTAGCAGTTGAATGAGAATTTTTCTGTAGAGCATCTGGTTCATCTGCTACCACTTTGTCTATGAAAAGACAGTCCATGAAAGGTTTGTCCCTGTCAGTATTTCTACATCTGGCAAACAAGAGTGAATATTTTGCCACGTTTTTCTTTATTACTTTGAAAAATACTAAAGCATAAACATTTCAGCCATTTGCAGCATCCAGCCATGCCTCATGAAATGGATGCAGTGCAGAGCCACACTCCCTCTTGTGTTATGCAGCTGCAAAAATAGATGTTGCAGACTACTGTTGTAAGAAATTTAATTCCTGGTGCTCTAATGATTGGGCCATGCAGAAATCTTTGTTACTTCAGCAACATGACTTTTCATGAGGAACTCTTCTTGGTCATCTCAGGAACCTTACCAGCCTAGTCATATGTTTTCTTGAACATTCCCAGTGCACCTCTAAAGTTTTTGATCAGGTATTGATGTAAATATGAGGGGCTGAAAGTGTCCTGACTCAAGTATTGCAAGGTATATGTTAACTGAATCTTTCACGGCTCAGTAATGCTTATCCACAGTTGCAAATTACTTTCCGTAGGCATAATGTCCTGAGCACAGTATTTCTGATGTAGTTTAAAACACTGGATTTAGTTCTCATTTCATGTTTT